GTGTCTATATAAGCGTGACGAGCTCTTCAGTAGGCCCTCCGATGGTGTGTGTGTCGGTGGCGGTGGTGAAGTTTTTTTTCTCTTCTTCTTCATCTTCTGAAGATGTTTTGTGTATGATATTACACGCGTTGTAAATTGCCTCGCGCAGACGCGCCGGAATCTGCATAAAGGATGCGATGTTGCGATACGCGCGACGTCGTCGACGACGATGATGTTTTCATTTTCTCCCTCACACCCCCTCTGTGCCTCTTGTATATACACTCGACGCGCTCGTGCGCGCGCACAAATGTAATTTTCCTTTCTTCAAAAGTCGTATAATTAGGACTTTTGTATATATACCTAGCGCTCGGGTACGCGACGCTATAAACAAAAACGAAAAATCCGTCGAGCAATTATTATTCTTGCTTCGCTGCGTGCGCACCTGTTCGTTCCAAAGAAGCCTCGAGAGCTCGAAGCTTATTTTTAATCGAATATTCCCGGCCGCGTTGTTTCCGTATCCGCGAGCGGAAAATTGCGACGATGTAATTATGCGCAGCGTGACGGAAGACTCGAGGTGCTGCGGAAAATATTAGATGTATATGTACTTCGTACAATACTGGGGGAAGTGATTTTGCTCCGATCTATGTGACAGTGTGCACGAATGACGTTCGAGCGATCGCGAATTTATATACACCCAAAATTGTGCTTCATACTTATAGAATTATATTGACTTTGTCACTTGCAGATTTACAGATGAAAGTGTTCGCCATCTAGCGGTGAAGGCTGGCTTTAATTAAGACTTCGGTATGTAGAGAATTGAACCTTTTTTGTTCATATTCAAATTTTAAATGATGCACGTGATTGCGTTTACACGAACTTTTTTGCAGTTTACATAAAAAAAAATCAGTGCACAGAAGATTCCATGTAAAAAATTACAATGAAATGAGATTCAGCATATCGACAAGTTTAATTTCAATGTCGTAACTTCACATCGAACCTGGACACTACATTTAAAATTATTTCAACAACGTACTCTAAAAGATGCAGATAAGAGCCGTACACGTACTATTATCAATAAATAAATCGAGTTTTCACGTCACTGCAGTAGTAGTACGTTATACATTACGTACGTGTCTGCATGTATCGATTCAAAATATTTTGCTGCAACGCTGCTGACACTGCATAATGATGTGTACATATAGCAGTCGAGTCGAGGCATAATATTTGATCAAAGCAGCAGGAGTAATTTTTTTTTTTCGCCGTATCTAATTCATCGATAAACACGCGTGTGTCAACTTTGAGTAATCGCGAGTTACATATTTCAGCGACGTCGACGGCTGAGCCAATCAAAACAAACACACATCGCTAACCTGAGGCTCTGAAACTTTAATGATGATAAAATTTTCAATCATAGAAAAAAGCTTCGATGTGTATATAGCAAGACGACGTCGTGATCAATGAACTGCAGTATTATTATGCTATAGGATAATTATGCGTGTGGGTAGATCAATTCGCGAAAGCACAAACACACGATTAACATTAAATAATTGATCGTGTATTATATGTTTATGAAAATTATGTGCATAATACAAGTACAATTGGCTCGAGTGCGTTACAATTGCAACTACATTTAAAAAATCCGATGAATTTTTTTTTGTAAAATATTGTACAAGGATCTAGATACTACTCGATATCATGGGAAGTTATTTTGAAGTACTTAGTTTTAGAAATCCGAAAAAAGGTCTTGTAGAAATCGTCCTTAACTTAGATTTTGAAACTCGTTCCATTATTGTAGGAATAATGTATATAAACAGATAAATCGGTAATCTAATTGTAAACAATATGATATCATAAGCAATATCGTCCCTACACACACTGTTCATATTTATGATTAAAACAAATTAGACTGTATGTTGTTTTCGCCAATGAAACAAATTATAATACCAAAAGATAAATTTTACTCATTCAATTTCCTAAACAAAAGAATCCCTCGTTTAATTCACATACCAAAATGGATAAAAGTGAGGAGAAAATCAAAGAAGTTATCTTGGAAAATAATTTAAGTGAATACGACATTGTTGTTCCAGACGACAAACAAAACGTTGTTGACATATGTCAGGAGGCATTTACACAAGAATCAAACATGATGACCGACCGAGATATGATTAACATCGAAAAAAAAAATTACTCATGCGACAAGTGCGAGAAAAAATTTGAGTTCCGAAGTCATTTGAGTAGACACCAAATATCGGTACACAAAAGCCAGAAAGATTTTGCATGTGACACTTGCAAAAAGAAATTCGTGAAAAAATCGAGTTTATTTACGCACCAAAAATTGGCACACAAAAATCGCGAAGATTTCATATGCAACAAGTGTGAGAGGAAATTTGAAAATAAATCAACTTTACTAAAGCACAAAAAAATATTCCACGAAGTTTTCAAAAATTACTTGTGTGAAATGTGTGCGAGAAGATTTGATACTAAACATAGTTTGCTCTTGCACATAAAGGCAGTACACGAGGATCGGAAAGATTTCGCTTGTGATAAGTGCGAAAAAAATTTTGAACATAAACAGAAATTGCTCGTCCATCAAAAGATAGTACACGAGGGTCGAAAAGATTTCGCATGTGATAGATGCGAGAAGAAATTTGCACAAAAAATTCAATTGTTAAATCACCTAAGAATAATCCATGACCGTCACAAAGATTTCGCTTGTGACAAGTGCGGAAAGAAATTTGGACGTAAAGGGAAATTGCTGCTCCATCAAAAGACAGTACACGAGGGTCGAAAAGATTTCGCATGTGATAGATGCGAGAAGAAATTTGCACAAAAAATTCAATTGTTAAACCATCTAAGAATAATCCATGACGGTCTCAAAGATTTCGCTTGTGACAAGTGCGAAAAGAAATTTGGGAGTCAAAGCCATTTCAGGGATCATCAAAAGACAGTCCACGAGGGCCGAAAAGATTTCGCATGTGATAAATGCGAGAAGAAATTTGGATATAAAAGTAATTTGCTCACCCACCTAAAGACAATCCACGAAGATCAGAAAGATAATGCATGTGACAGATGTGAGAAGAAATTTGGACAAAAAATTCAATTGATTACCCACCTAAAGACAGTCCATAACGGGCGCAAAGATTTCGCTTGTGACGAATGCGGAAAGAAATTCGGGAGTCAAAGCCATTTCAGGGATCATCAAAAGATAGTCCACCAGGGTCGAAAAGATTTCGCATGTGATAAATGCGAGAAGAAATTTGGACATAAATGTAATTTGCTTACGCACCTGAAGATAATCCACGAAGGTCAGAAAGATTATGCTTGTGACAAATGCGAGAAGAAATTTGGACAGCAAAGTAATTTGCTCACCCACCAAAAGGTGGTACACGAAAGTCGAAAAGATCATGCGTGCGAAATTTGTGGTAGAAAGTTTGGGGATCAAAGCAATTTGATAAAACATCAAAAGAGACTCCACGAAAGTCGAAAAGATTTCCCATGTGACAAGTGTGAGAATAAATATGCATATAAATCAGATTTGTTGAAGCACCAAAGGTCAATACACGAAGGTCGCAAAGATTTTGCATGCGACACGTGCGAGAAGAAATTTGGAAGTAAATCAGATTTGTTGAAGCACCAAAGTACAATACACGAAGGACGCAAAGATTTTGCATGCCACAAGTGTGAGAAGAAATTCGGGCACAAGTCGCATTTGCTTGCACACCAAAGAACAGTCCACGAAGGTCGAAAAGATTATTCATGCGATCGTTGTGAGAAGAAATTTACACAAAAAGCACATATGCTTTACCACCAAAGGACAATCCATGAAGGTCATAAAGATTTTGAATGCGACAAGTGCGAGAAAAAATTTGCACAAAAATCAAGTTTGCTCGCCCACCAAAGGACAGTCCACGAAAATCGCAAAGAATTTGCATGCCCCAAGTGTGAGAAGAAATTTGGGTACAAGTCGCATTTGCTTGCACACCAAAGAACAGTCCACGAAGGTCACAAAGATTATACTTGTGACAAGTGTGAGAAAAAATTCGGTCGAAAATCGGATTTGCTAAAGCACCAAAAAACAGTCCACGAAGGTCGCAAAGATTTCGCATGCGACAAGTGCGAAAAGAAATTCGGACAAAAAGTAAATTTGCTCAGACACCAAAAAACAATACACGAAGGTGAGAAAGATTACGCATGTGATAAATGCGAAAAGAAATTTGGACGTAGAGAGCATTTGCTTCTCCACCAAAAAACAGTACACGAAGGTCGCTAAGATTACGCATGCGACAAGTGTGATGGAAAATTTGGACAAAAATTGAATTGGCTCTCCCACAAAAACAATAGCTCATTAAAATCCACAATGATTGGGAAATGCGATAAGTTATCAAGTGACAAACTCATAAAAAAATATGAGGTTCCTAAATTTGTGAGTACTAACAGTCAATTCTAGAATATTTCTTCGATCAAGTTTAGAAAAGCCTAATTGGAACTAATTTTATTTTGCATAATTAGATGATCCAACTGTATTAAAACCATGTTTATCATGATATCACATCTTTCTTATAATAGCTTGTTTTTCTACTAAATCTTTTAAAATCTTTTGATCGCTCTTTTCTCCTAATCAGTAAATGTGCCCAATTGCATTCAATCTCGCGTCAAGTGATAATCAAGTTTTTATTAATAATTTATCGCTCATACCAATGTCTCAAACTTATTACAGTCATTATGTGCTTCGAGTAGTTCCTCAGAGAATGAAAAACGCTGATTTTTTTTTAACAATCATAAATATATATGTATTGATATATTCTTGTATGAATGTTTTTTTAACATTTCAATAAAAACGACACTGTTTATTTAACATGGAAACCATTTGATTATTCAATTTAAGCCAATGAGTGTTTTCTACACCCTTCAAAATAATTAGAAGCTCTCTCGATTGATAAATCCTCAATAACATAATTCCCTGAAAGGGCCAATCAACCCGATTGACATCAATCATAACAATAATAACAATGTATACTCACATTGAGATGAAACATCATGCGAGCTTTTTGCATCGCGGCACTCGAGCCTACATTGCTGCCGCTACTACTGTTATTAACATTTTTCGTTACACCACTCGTCGCCGTCGTTGTTGTTGTCGTCGTCGTTGCCTGACGTCTCGACGCGTTGACTTCGTTACCGCCGCTGCAGCTCTTGATTCTTGGCCTCTTGCAGTGCGATCGTCCTGACGATCGTCGCCGACGATCCTCGTACGACAAGTCGTCATCGTTATCGACGTTGTTGTAATAATCGTCGACGCTGCATCGTACTACCGGTGCAGCAGCAGCTTGCAGCATGACGACGACGACGAGGATCTCTGTATGTATATATATACGACGATGATATCCTCCGACGAGTACGAGTGCACTCGCAGCAGCAGACGGAGAGAGAGAGAGGAGGTGCGCGGCGCACACTGTACACTGGCACACTCGTGGTCCTGCACAACGGCAAACACTTTTCTATCGTCTTTACGTGTGTGTGCGTGTGCGAGCTACAGGCAGGAGTTTACGTACACTACACGCGCTTGCACTACCGACGGAAAAAAAATAATAATAATGGCAACAAGAAAAAAAATCAAGACTTATAAAATCACTTGTGGCTCTGTATTACGATGTGTGTCACTCGTCGTGTGTCGCGGCGACGACGACGACGACGACGACGATGATGATGATGTCGCGAGACGCATTATCGTCATTATTATTATTATTTTATCTATGTATATAATACCGAGAGGGACACGCACGCCGAACGTCGAAAATGGCCGAGGCGAGACTGTGGCAAGTATAACAGGTTCTGCGAAAGGAAAGCGCCGTCTCTCTCTCTCTCTCCCTTTTGCCACCCCCGCCGTTACTGCTAGCGCCAACACCGCCACCCACCCACCACCACGTCAACCACCACTACTACTACTACTACCCTCTCCTGCCGCTGCTGCATCCGATCGATTCGGCGCCCGAGTGAGCTTTTACCCCTCTGCTATACGCTATGTGCCATGCAGCGGCGGCGGCGGCTCCGTTATAATACCTACACTGCAGCGAGGCTAGTAAGCGCTAGAGGGAGCACCCTGTGATTTTCACGAAAGGATCTCTCTCTCTCTCTCTCTCGACTCTATTTGTACAGCAGCAGCGTATAGAGAAGTGCAAAAGGGGGACGCGCAGCGCGACGATGCTCAGATACTGCGGCGCATTCTCTATATATATATATCCCCCTCGCCCTTGCAGCACACCGTACCACTACGGTATTAAGCTCTCTCTCTCTGTGCACTTTGGATTGGATATATACGTATAAATATCAACGATCGCTGGCTCGAACTTTTTGAAGATTTTTCGCGCTTCTCTCGGCTCGGCGCGTTGTGTGCGTGCGTGTGCGGTATACCACCGTACATATCGTATATAGAGCAAGAGGCACACGCGTATGGGGTGAGAGAGAGAGAGAGAGAGAAAGGGAATTTTTCATTGCCTCGGGGCTCGCATACTTCTGTATATATATCGTACATATAAGCCGACGTCGCGCCACGGATTTTTCTCTCTACTTATTATAACTATACGTGACTCGCGCGGAGCTTTTGATCGTTTATTTGCGAGTATACCGCCGCGTGCTTGTATTTAAATTCTTTACTTCTAGTGCGCGCGGGGGAGAAGTCGTAACGCACTTTTTATTTCTGTATTTATATGGAGTCGTTATTCGCACGCACTCGACATCAATATTTTTGATTCGGGCGCGATGAGAATTTCCATTTTACGAAAAATTAAAAGTAATCATCGTTTTTTATTCTCGACCGTATAATTCGACGGATGTAGATGGATATTTTTTTCTCTCTCTCTCTCGACCCGCGCGCATCGATGTAAATTATAAATGTACTTGTAGTCTCAAAGGAGCGTGCTGTGTTTTCATCCATTGATTAAAAAAAAAAACACAACTTTTACACGCGCGCGCTCGTTTCTGAACTATAACGACGTTGCAAAACATTTCTATGAAATTCGTGTATACGTATTTTACGGATCATATATTTGAGAAACGTGTAAAAATTCTAAATTTCGTTCGACAACGATGGATTAAAATTTTTTACACACCCATAACAGTCGAAAAGTTTTCAAACTACAATTTTTATTCACACGTGGAATAACGAGCTTGCAATTAACGTACACGCGTGAAACGATAAAAATAAATGTAATAAAATATATTCTTTTACGCGCGCGTTGTTTCATTTTTGACGAGATGTTTTAAAAAGCAAAAAAAAACGAAATAACAAAACACGTTAAGCAGCTTTTTAGCTTTGAATATATATAGGGATTATTAATCAAAATTGAAACAATGCAGCATTATTAACGCGTCGAATCGAGGGAAACAACGAGCTTATATTTTCAATTGATATTAAATGGAATTAAAGTCAATTTCAAAATATAATGCGCAAAAACGTTATTATATCGTCGGCTAATTATTGGCTGGTTTCGTTCGATTTTTCAGAAATCAAAAGAAGCGAAGATAAATAAAAAAGAAATTAAAGGGGAAAAAGGAGGCACTCTCCAGCTTTCTTCCCGCGTACACTGAAGGAGAGAAGGACGAGAGATGGACAGACAGTATCTTTAGCCGATGGGCTCTGGGGAGAGTTCTCTTAGACTTTCGAAAAAAAAAAACTGGTCCAAAGTTTCGCCGCCTCCGTTTCTGTATATATACGGACCGTAACACAGACGAATTCTTGGCGAAAAGTTTTCAAGTCCAAGTTTTCAATCGAAAAATAGGATCGCGAGAGAGCGAAGTCGAATACCGTCGGTCCGAAGAAAGGCATTATTGGTTTCGCGTTAAGGCTCGATAACACGTGAATTATTTACGACACGCTAATGCTATTTGCTTCTTTTTTTCTTTCTTTATTTTTCAACGTACATTCAAAGATGACAATTTTTACTGTAATATTGTTCAAATTGGATTTCTCAGCGCCGTGCGTCGGACTCGTACTGATATATATATCTATAAGTGCGCTCTATATGCGCCAGAGAGTCCTCATAAAGTACGATTGAAAAGCAAAAGTATTGAAAGAATTTCCGATAATGAACGAAGAGAAAAAAAGGGAAGAGAGAGAGAAAAAACAGGCCGAAGACGGTCGGGTGTTCATTTAAATCCCTTTCCTGACCCGCGCTATAAAGGCAAGTTCATTACTTCGTTCTTTTCTCGAATAGCCGTTTATATACCCGCACTCGAACACACACACATAATCCACATCGAGGAGTGCCTGCGCAAAGCTCGAGCCGATTCATTCAAAGTCTCGGAACTTCTTCTCTTCGATGCGATTCTCGAAAGATTTTTTTCGATTCGCCTTCCTCGCAGTTTTCTTTTTCTTTTTTTTTTTTTTGCTACTCATTTGTCCGTTGCGCTTACATATACATTTTTTTTTGTACTTCGAACTTCAATTAGCGCGGGCACGCGCAGCAACGAAGTTTGATTGATTGCCCACATAATTGCACAATACGATCCCCGTTCTTCCACGCGGCGAACGAATAGACTTGGGAAAATACATTTTGTATCGAGAAGTTTGAAAAATAACTTTTTTTTTTTCATACAATACTTCGATTGAATCGCGTTTCAATTAAACTTTGTGAAAAATAACAATGACGCATCCACGAAAATCAACGTGAAAATCGACGGGTATGACGCGGGAATCAACAGGACTATTGGATTCCACATAAATAACTATAGTGTCGGCTCAACGACATAATGACTAATTCGACTTAATTTCTAATATCGCATGTGCACACCGTAATGCAGTGGCAATTAGTGTGGTTTCAGATATTTATATTTCTCTTTTTTGTGAATTTATTTCTCATCGTGTACCGCTCGTATAGCGTTAACCAATTGTGCGCCTGAAAGAATGCCATTTTCACTACAATTTCGGTGTAATTTTAACAGGACATGGCGAGCCCCGTATATCATAATGCAGTACATATCTGCGTATGGCTATAGGCGACGATGGTGGGGGAAAGTATCATCGACGAGCTATCACAATTGCAGAGTAGACTCGCGATCCTGTATACGGCTGTATCGCTAATGAAGAGTCAAGTATTTACAAATTGGTGCAGTCTTGGCTGCTCGAGGCTTATAACCTCGAATATTTTTTCGGTGTAAATCGTGAAAATTTACAAAGATTACGTACAATCAAGCGAGCGATGGAAGGCAGCGAGGACACGATTAGGTATAATTATTTTTGTGCATACTGCAATAATTATTCAAACGATTGTTTCATCGAAATTGATCGAATTGATCCTTTAGTGTTAAGGTAGAGCCGAATGATACATGGGCTGATACAGGCGACTACTATAATTTCGATTCGGTGGACTGTAGCGAAGTAAAAGACGTTAAAACATTCACGTTTCATGAATCAACGGTAAGTTCCATAACTTGATCGTGTTTTGTTTTTTCATCATGTAAAATTATTCTATAATTTTAATTTCAGGCAAATCGCATGAATGAGGTTAAGTCGTTACAAGATGAGGTAGATAAAAAAATATTTATAGATTTCGAGTGTAAAAATGTTAAATCTGAACTAAAGTCTCTGACGACAACGATCTGCAAATCTGAGCATCAAAATATTCAACCTATTGTGAAAAGAGAAAATCAATTTGACACTAATTATTCGAATGATAAGAATCTGATAATTTTGATAAAGAAAGATTTCGATTATCATAATAATCGTCAATTTCAAGTTAATCCCAGATGGAAATTTGATGATCATAAGAGCGTTAAAATATCGAGAGAAAATATTCAAAGAAAATTATCTTATGGATGTGAGATTTATCAAAATTCATTTGAAAACCAAAATAATTTCAAAAGGCCCCTTATTACGGTTCATAATCAGAGTGAACCTTTCGACTGTTATGTTTATCAAAAATCATTGGTGTACAAGGGTGGCCTCAATAAACACTTAAATAACACAGCACATGATCGTAGCAAACCTTACGAGTGTGATATTTGCCACAAATCATTTGGACAAAAACAACACCTAAAAAATCACATCAATGCAGTACATATCCGTAGCAAACCCTTCGAGTGTGGCATTTGTCAAAGATCATTTTCATTAAAGGGTAACCTCAAAAATCACTTAAATTCAATGCATGACCAGATCAAACCCTTCGAATGTGAAATTTGCCATAAATCATTTAGAATAAAATTATACCTTAATTCGCACATACATACAGTACATCATCGTAGCAAACCCTTTGAATGTGAAATTTGTCACAAATCATTTGGACTGAAACATAATCTCAAAAATCACATAAATGGAGTACATAATCGAATTAAACCCTTCGAATGTGAGATTTGTCACAAATCATTTAGAGAAAAAGGTCACCTCAATAAACACATCAATTCAGTACATTCTCGTAAAAAACCTTTCGAGTGTGAGATTTGTCATAAATCATTTGGAGAAAAAGGTACCCTCAAAACTCACATAAATACAGTACACAATCGAAGCAAACCTTTCGAGTGTAATATTTGTCACAAATCATTTGGACAAAAAAATGCTCTCAAAACTCACATTGATACAGTACATAATCAAAGCAAACCATTCGAGTGTGATATATGTCACAAAACATTTAGCCGCAAGGATCACCTCAAATCTCATGTAAATACAGTACACAATCGAAGCAAACCTTTCGAGTGTAATATTTGTCACAAATCATTTGGACAAAAAAATGCTCTCAAAACTCACATTGATACAGTACATAATCAAAGCAAACCATTCGAGTGTGATATATGTCACAAAACATTTAGCCGCAAGGATCACCTCAAATCTCATGTAAATGCAGTACATAATCGTAGCAAACCCTTTGAATGTGAGATTTGTTACAAATCATTTGGATACAAGAATAACCTCAATAAGCACATAAGATCAGCACATGATCGTAGCAAACCTTTCGAGGGTAATATTTGTCACAAGTTATATGGACGCAAGGATACCTAGGATCGTGAGATTGTCACAAACTATTCATATAAAATGAGAACTTCTGCAATCATACTAATACGCTACGCCATGTGAGAAAATCTTTTATTAGATTATCTTACAATTTTGTGACAAAATAATAAATAATAAAGTTTTTCAACTATACTACAAATCTTTAATTCCTTCTTTCAAGTATTGCTGTAAAACCAATGATTCAACATTCAACTTATCGATCCGCTCAGAATTGACCAAAGATCATTTTAATATTAGTAATAACTACGAAATTTGGAAACTAATAACTTCTGGACTCTGAAAAAGAACGATATAAGATCCTAAAAATCCTTACAAAATCCATTAGCAAAGCTTTCATGCCAGTAAAAAAAAATTTGTTTTGGACATCGATTTTTTAGAAGATTGTCCTTACACGCGAACGAAAAATCAAAATCGTTTTCCACGTTTATATGGACATCGACCTTACCATAGCTCGTGTACCAAGACGCGTTATTGCGGTCGAGCGCTGCTTGTGTCGCGATCGGTGCAAATGTTATTAAAAATATAACTCGCCGTCGCAGCATCTATAGTGCGCGTGAACATTTTATTCGTCATTATATCATACGAATTTCGTCAATATTTCTGCGTGTTTTGCGCGGAGGAGCATCAACGAACGGAAAAGCTCTTAGAAATTCAATCATTCGTCATCGCAAGCTCTTAAACAAACGAATGTTACGTATGTAGATTTCCTCGGTGATCAGTTGTAAAGCTGCGTTCATCGGTACAAGCAGGTACACGAGTGCGAAAACGGAGAAGGCAATGCAGAGGGTGCGAGAGAAAGAGGCGGCGAATAACGCCGAGACCGCAAATAATTCAAGCGGTTCGAATTATCCGGAGCTTTCGCGTTATATATTCATAGCCGCACTTGTGCCGTATTTGGTCAGTTTCAGCTGCTCCAAGTAGGCGTATCTCTAAACTAGGCATCGTAATTCTGTATCCCTAATGAATGTTTTCGGCTTCTTCGATAAGGGATCCTCGTATTTTTACAAGACGGGACTTAATACTACGCAAACCCAGCGATCCGTTTAATAAAGCTCGCAAACTCCCGAAAGGCGACCGATGTTCTATACAAACGAAACAACGTTGCTCCTCCTAAGCATGTATAGGCTCTGCGGGGTAGGAGGTCGAGAACAAGACCCACCGACCGTCGTTGTAGTTGTTGCTGGGTACGTTTGTATAAAAGAGCTACACACTACATACCAGGAAAACGCGAGACTCCGTTATATTATATTGTACATGTTATAAGGCGTAAGCACAGTGTGGTGCTGCATACAACGATATATGCTGCCGAAGGAACTTCCGCTTCGGGCTCTATTTACTTTTACGACAATGCGCGCGGCCTTTATGCCGTTCGGCGCAGGGCGGGGGTGGCTCGGCTCGGCTCGAGCTTTGTGTCCGTATGCCGCGCGGCGACTCCGCGCGCCGCTCTCATTTTATATATAGCATATATATAGTAGGTAAGTACAACGTCCCCACCCATTCTCTCCTTGCTTTTGAAAATTTCATCCCGCGCGCGTGTATATCTGTTTCGTCTCGAGCTACTTGCGATACGGGGGGGTTCTTTTTTTTTTCGTGCTCGCGGCTTAGAGAGAAAAAATAAGAAGAAAAATCAAATTACTCCCGACTCGTACACAGACCAGCGAACGTTTAATTTTCTTCACTTTTTTTTTTTTAATTCAATCTGGACTCTGCAACTCTACGAGTTTTCGTATAACGCACACCACTGTATGATATATAAACTGCGGACTGGGCGGGCTTTCATTGTCGGATGATTAACCGAGCGCGCGTCTGCCGTTTTTTGTTTGCTCGCTCTCTCTCTCTCCTTCTTTATCCTTCGTTGCGCGAGGGGAATAAAAAGATAATCCCTAAAACGAGTTGGCGGTACGCTGCGTGGTCCTTACTTGGATTCAGCGGGACAATAACTCTTATTTCTTATTTCTTTCGAAGTGAAACTTTTTTGAACGCGTCGGGTATGGGAAATCAACACTTGAAAATCGAGTGACTTGTGTATACTGCGCGAAGGTCGATAAATATAATCGACGACATCGAAGAATTACGTGTACTATTATAAGGTCGTTCCTGCTCTCCCAAAAATTTTCAAAAAAAAAGGTTGAAAACCAAGGGAGCACGAGCAAGAGAGGTAAAACCCTGGTGATTGAATCAAAAATGCATTGATCGTCGAAAGCGAAGTGACATTCTCAAATATAGATGTGTAAAGAGTATTTAAATTGATTCGATTAATTTTGTTTTCTTGGATGATTTGATAAATCCTGTACATAAATGGTTTATAGATATTTTTTAAAAAGGGCGTCAAATTTCATAAAATATGTGCATTTATTTTCAATTTACGTACAACATTCATATCTTTACACAGTTGAACATTGGAAACCGAACCGAATTTAAGAGTTACTTTGCAGTGTTCGAACTACAAAAACAAAAACTAGAATAATATTCAATAAATTTAAAACGATAAAGATTTTACAATTATTACATCATAATCCAGAAATCTGATCGCAATGCTCTGAATTCTGGTTAGTATATTCATTGTCCAAATCCTGCCGAATGTGATTAATGTCACCATCTGACCCCAAATAGCCCAACCTTATTTATTAAATAAATTCCAGGTAAGACGAGACTCTAATGTATTTGTCCGTGAGTCACCACTCTAACGACGACGAATTATCGATGCCAATCCATCAGTGCACTGCCGCTGTCCGCCTGTGTAATTTGGTGTTAAAAAAAATTACAGAGTCTAGTGTTGAAATTTGTTACTCTTCATTTTAATTGGATTTTCTTTTAGTACAATTAAGATTATAGCTGGAAGAAATTCATATAGGCAGATTCTAGTCCTCCGAATGATAGTTGAAGTAGTAAAAATATATTGCTACAACAGTGCAAAATACATGCATGTTTTTCTAGTGGTGATTTGGCCGCGTCCATATATATTTAATCCATAGAAATTAAAAGAATACCAAGATAAGCATGAAATAGAATATTTGTGAAAGAAGTTTCTTATAGAATAATTTTTAAACAATTTATTAAGGTGTCTCTTTTATTGTTATCTTGGCGATCATGCCTTGTTAGGATGGTATAGTTAGCACCCAAAAAAAAAAATATTCGTTTCCTGTAATGATATTAGATATGAATCGTTTGCGCATCAAAAGTTGTAAAGAATGACAAATTTTCACGTTTGCGCGTCTAAAAAATTTTGAAAAAAATGAAACTTTTGAATGGGTGCTGGAATTTCAGCACCCAAAATAAAATTCATTGAAATTCGACAATAATATACTAAATTTTATTTTTGTCCTGCACAAAACGATTGCTCGTTTGAAGCGCAAACGAATGGTGTAAACCATTTGTTTCCAAAGTTTATTGAATACAATAATATTTTTAATGAGAGAAGAGTCAATCGGGTTGTAGATTTGGCTAGCATATTTATTTATTTTTAAGATGAACGAGCGGGATTATTAAATTACTTGGGTCTCTACTTTGCTTTGATCGTTTCATTATTTAAAAAATGCACCAGCTGGGTTATTTGAATTACTACTTGGTTTATCATAATTAATTATTTATTTTCAAAATGCAACAGCTCATTTACTAGGGTTACTACTTTAAATAAATAAACTTATGTATTTAATGAGCTTTGGAAAGAGATGGTTTACACCATTCGTTTGTGCTTCAAACGAACAATCGTTTTGTGCGCGACAAAAATCAAATTTGGTATATAATTGTCGAATTTCAGTGAATTTTATTTTGGGTGCTGAAATTCCAGCACTTATTCTAAAATTTCATTTTTTTCCGAATTTTTCAAACGGGCAAACGTGAAAATTTGTCATTCTTTACAACTTTTGACGCGCAATAAACGATTCATATTAATCTCATAACTGGAAACGAATATTTTTTTTTGGTGCTAACTTTACCGACCTTGCCTTGTTTTATAAAAATATTTAATAAAAATTTTAGAAAATATTTTTTTTCGCGCCGTATCTGAAGGTATTTAACAATAAAAAACGTATAACGTAATCGTATGTGCTTATCAATAAAGAAAAATCGAAATTCATTTTTAAATTCATTTATTTGAAAGACATGGATAATGTACAACATTAAATAATTTTATACATAAAAAATATTAAACATATTTGCTCATAGTCATTACTTTGCAGCCGCCAAGCAAATATTGAATAAATCTTTGTTCGTTAGCCAGTCCATAATCATATCAGCGCAGAGAAGCGGCAGCCGGTGGTGTAAGATTTTCTCCCAAAAGGGATACAGTGTCCATGTCCGGAAAAATCTTCTCGCGAGTTTCTCGCACAGATGATTGACACAATCGTCTCTGAACTCCAAGGGGAGTTCCCACAATTTTTCCGAGCGCCACAACTCCAAGTAGTCCTCGTGCGTGAGTAGTTTCGCGGCCTCTCGGTATTGCAACCGGGTCAGGTCGTAGAGCGACAGACTCGGCTTGACCGTGATTTTTTTCGCCTCGATCGCGAACTCTTCGTCGTCGTACCAATTGGATTCTACGACGTCCGTCGACTCGAGCAGCAGATCGGTTAAAAATTTCATGATCGTCAGGGCGTCGCTTCGAGCCAATTCGCGTCCTCGTTTCTCGAGGCCCTCGACGACGATCAGCAGAACCGACGTCAATTCCAATCGACAGCATAGATCCCGATGTGCGTTACTTTCGTTGAACTGTTTTGCCGTGGGAAAAACGAAGCTGGACAGATCAACGACGTTGTCGAAAAATACATCGATCAAATCTGGACGGAGGCTGGCCACGGCGTATTGCAGAGCGTCATATCCGTCTTCGTTGGTTATATACGGGTCGGCGCCATTCCTCAGCAGGAACTCGACCAACGAGAGGTCGCTGTACTCCGCGGCATTATGCAATGGCGTATCACCGTGTGTGTCCTGGGCATCGATAGACGCTCCATACTTGATCAGTATCTGCGCCAACTCGACGTCGTCGTTTTCGACGCAAGCCTCGTGCAGAGGTGTGGATCCACTCACACGCGTAATGCTATTCGGTTCCGCGCCATTTTTCAGCAGTGTTTCGGTCACGATCTTGAGGCCGCAGGATACGGCTCTTTGCAGAGCAGTGTAGCCTTTTTTGTCTCGCAGGTGTATACGCACCGGCTGATGTTCGTGGTCGGTGAGATCGATCAACGTCTGCATCAAGTCACTGTCTTCGGGACCCATGCCGATCAAGTGCACAGCTGTGAGTCCATTCTTGTTGGCCACGTTCGGATTGGCGCCGTGTCTCAGCAACGTCGCGATCATCTCCGGACTCGTGGGAGGGAATCGCAGCACCAAGTGTAGCAGAGAATCGCCTGTCTCTGGGTCGAGGTCATTGGGATCCTGACCGGCCTCGAGGAATTTCTCGACGGCTTCCGTGCAGCCCCACTCGCAGGCCACTTGTAAATGCGTGTAGTCGAGCCTCTCGTCGGTGTAATTGATATCGAATCGATCGTAAATTTTAAAGAGCTCGCGACCGATCGCGGGGTTGATACCCTCGAAAGCTGCGAGCGACAGTGGTGTACAGCGACGGAATATCAATTTGCCGTCTTGATCGACTTTGGGCTTGTCTTTGTAACCCGTTTGGACCAGAAAACTGATAAATGGAGCTAACAGATTATCTTCTGTTCTCCAACGACTTATGGTATCCGAGAGAAGAATCTCGATTTGTTCGGGCCAAAAAATTCCCCGAAGGTCGGAAAGTCGACCGTCCCAATCGTTGAGCACGCGATAAAATTCATCGAATAACTCGTGCCGCTTTGCTTTGACCCCCCAATTGATATTGTCTCGTAAGTACTTCAATGTGTCCAATCTAATCGTGTTGTAGTTCATTTCCTTTACGAAGCTGCTATTAACGAACATGATTATTATAGGCACTCGCGCACAACTTAAAATTTACTTATTGTAGGCACTCGCACAAAACTTAAAAAATCACACTAGCTTCAAATGTAAATCACGTGGCTGATTTTCCTAACCGCTTACGCTGCAACGTGGGTCCGACTTTCACTGCCACTATGTGTTTTCTTGCACCAAGATCGATATGAAGTGAAAAACACGTGGGCGAAACTATATAAGAGATTATTTTTTTTTTTTTCACTGCTTTCACTTCGGCGTCGTAACGAATACTGACTTTTCCTTCCTCATTGAAAAACCTCATTGAACTTTTGACGATGTAGCTCCGAAACGATCGATTCAAACGTCTCGCATTTGAGCGCCTACGGCGTCACCAGCAATCAGTTTTGATTGAAAAGAAAGGCCAATTATGTTATTGACTCGTGGGTATAAGAACACCTGAACCATCATCATTTAGTCCTACTGAAACAGATTGTGCTGCTTTCGAGCATGACAAAGCTTGCAAAATTTCAATTTTATTGAATTCACTTGAATTTTTAATTTTTCGGTACGATTGTATTACATACATTCCGATTTTATCCATCGCACATGAGTGAGAATCGGCCACATTCCTTTTACTCCAAAAGCGAAATGAGAGTAAAATTAATCAATAAACGGAAATAAATTGAATGGACTTTTTTATCAATAAAATATCTAGGTCACGAGGTAAATTTATTGACGATGGAAAGGACATCGAAACCAAAATAAAAAGCAACATTTTTAAAACGAATTTAATATTCTTATGAGTATTTTCTTTTATACCGCGAACATTTTTTATAGCTGCGTTATTGAAAATGTTCATCTTTACTCTCCGTTCAGTTTGTTCTCGACCGAAGAGAAGTACTTATTGTTCTTTATTCGAAAAGAGAGACCGCTTTCGAGCCAATAAAAATATAAAAGTTCGAAATACCTTCTCGACCCTTAATGAACCGCAAAGACGCAAAGTTTTCGAGCGTACACGTAAGCGCAGGATCGAGCGGAGCAAAAGTTTTAATACTCCTCGATGATCGCGTCTGGAGATCGCGCGCAAGCCATCCCGAAATTATCGGCTCGACCCGAATTCGAGTGCCGAGTCGGCTCGAAAATTAAACGATCAATTAGTCGAAACGATTACCGATTAAATATGTTGCATTGTTAATGAGTTTCAGCGTGGTATTGTGTATAAACTTCGATACAAGACATGCGCTTTATTTTGTCAGTCTAGTTTCACTGTTTTAATGAAAAAATAACGTGAAACTCGTTGTGAGATTAACAATCTATTCCTAAAATCGACCTAATTGAAAAATTCAACGTCTCTCTTTATTGCGAACTTGTTGAATTCACTCAAAAAACTGCTTTATAGGTTGTAGTTGAATCCACGTGAACTTTGCTTTAAAATAATGTATAATTGTCAATGATATACGAATCGCGAATGACCAGTTTAAAATATTTTTATTGATAAATTAAAATTTTATTTTTAACAAAATAATTCGGTCGCAAAATTAAAAACATGAACATTCACTTTAAAGTGTTAATTAATTCGTTATGTAAAAATAACAAGATTCATTGGAATTCGATTAAGTTAATTCTTCTTACTGCCCCGAACGTGAGTTCTAATTAAGAACATGCATATTCAAATCCAAATAATTGTTTTAATGTGACATAAATATTTACATTTTTACATAAATAAGTTTTTTTTGTTTTTCTTTTCCATTCGAAAAAGCTTTCGATAGAAAATCTGCCTATTCTTCGGCCAATGTTTTCTTTCTCTTCAGCTGCGGCATTTTGAACTCAGCCGCGTTCTCCTCGTTCTCAGTTATTCGCTTTCTCTTCTGAACTTTTTGAACTCTGTTCCACGACTCGAAGAACTTGTTCAGTGGCGTACCAACCTCGAGCATCTTCTTTTCCCACGCCTCCACCTCGGCCGTATTCTTCAAGTTGAGTGTAACGGTCGCCCGCTCGCTCATGATGAAGCGGCTGTTCTCTTCGATCTTCTCGAGCAGCTGCTTTATTTTCCGACTGTAATTGGCAACACGACACTTTTTGTGGAAAGCTCTGAGCTTGATGTTGAGTTGAAGCACAAAGTCAGGGAAGTAGGCTCGATGGCTTTCTATGGCCGTTATTTCCAATATGAGTTCGTAGATGTTTTCGATGAGGGCATCTTTGAAGCCATTTTCAGATAACTGACTTTTTGAAGCCCTGAGTATGGTTGTCAGGGACATAGGCTTCATCGACACTATTTTGTGTTTTTTATTAAAGTCATATTCCTCCAGAACCTAAATATAAGATTTAATTAATATTCATTTAAATATTCATCAACAAATTGCTGCATACTAAGAAATGTAACAAAAACTTACCTGAGTTAATAAGGGAAGAGTTGGAATATAAAGATTTGCATTTTTAGACAGTGTGGTCAGCATACGGGCACAATGGAATCGCAGTGGATAATACTGCGAAGTTGGAATGACATTGACGACTCCGATGATGACCTTTAGTAAAAAATTGAATATTAAGTAGCTGTTCGAACATTAAAACCTTATTTAAAAAATATTCATTTCAAATACTTACTTGCACTAAAGGATATTCAAGTCCACGAAGTAGAGTATCCTTCTTTGCCTGTGGAATAAGATGAGCCCAGAACCACAAAGAATTAATGTACTGCCAATTGTTAATGGCTTGAAAATGTTCCTGTTTTTTCAGGGTCAGTGCATTTCTTAGCAGTATAGCCAGTTGACGAATATACATAAATGCATTATGGTAAGCAATATCAGTGTGTAGCAAATAAATTTCAGCCAATGAACGCCTCATGAAATTAATTGCAGATACTGTATTAGGTGAAACAAATTTGGAAGTTTTCACATATTCAATGTACATAGTCTGTAAAAACAAATACAATTAGATATATTATGGTAAAAAATTTAAATGATAATTAATAATTATTTTGTACATACCTTCAATAATGTATGGAAAAATGCAGGCGATTTTTGATGGACAGCAATTTTCAATATGTTCATAAAGGCAACCACTCGAACAGTTTCAGAATTGCTACTTGACCAGAATGAAAGAATAACTTTCATAAGAGGTTTTTGTAAGGATGAAAAAGCCAAAGTGAACGGTATCATTGCATGAAGATGTTTCAGCAACCCACCAATAACATTTGATGAAGTGACACTTTTAAGAAGCTGCAATTAATTCGACAATAAATAAATTGATTCTTTCTTTCAATTAAAATGTTAAGAAATTTTACTATACCTTAATTAAATTGGACAAGTAAGATTTTAATGTTCCTTTAATTTTGGGAAATCTTTTGGCCTTGTGACACTTATATTTGTTTTCATCATTCAGGTTTAAGAACCTGTTAAAGGCCCCTGGTAATTGTGTCATACACAACTGAATAACTCCATTGAAAACTATAAAAGATAATTCATATCATCAGTAATGTTTGTTTTAAAATGTAACTTTTTAATTATTGCTACATACTTGCTGCTCCTTCGACTTTGTACTTTGCTACTTTATTATTGTCTGTATCGGTGGACGCTCCTCCCAGGATTTCTTTCTTTGTATGTACTTTGACAGTTTCAACAGATTCTAAAGTTGCATGAAAAACTTCTACAACTGTTTTGATTATTTGGGTAGATCTAAAGAAAAGAAGTTTAGTAAAACTTTGATATATTTATTCAATAAAAACAATTTTCAAAATTATATATTACCTGTCTGTCTGGATTTGTTCTTCCCATTTTCTCAGCAATTTATGAGTGATTTTTATTGGACCATCGGTATTTTGAACTTCTTGTTGTCCTTCTTCTTCGAAGTCGGACTCATCACTGGCAATCTAAATTATAAACACAATAAACAAATGATTAATGTCAGACCATAGGCAGTTTTTCAAGAGTATCAATCATCCATTATTTGAGAAAATAATTCACTCGAAATAATGGTTTCCACTTTTTGACAGGCAAAATAGTTTTGTACACAATAAATATTTACATACCTCGAGATCACTGTTGTTAGACATGGTAAAAAAGACTTTTTTTGTAGTATTCTTGTAAATATTATATGCAGAGTTGTACTCTGTGACTACCTCGTGTATCTCGCTGCAGCAGCCACCACATGGCCCGGCGTCGTTGAGTCTCATGCGGTTAAAATTCTAACTAGGATTTGAGCGGTAGATTTGAAATTTATTTTAGGAAGCATGAGTACTTTCTAAGTGGAAATTTTTTCTATGTTTTCAATTACAATCATATTCATTTCAATTACTATCAACTATTCAATCATGTTTTTAGATTTTTTTCATGTATTAATAAACGGATTTAATCATCGTTGAAAGAACCTCGTGTTTTTCAATTATTACCCTTGTAGTACTTTAAAAGTCCAGTGACAAAATAAAAAATGTTTAATAATCTTAAAAGTACACAATAAGTTAAAACAAAAAATGTTATCTTATTATTATAATATTATTTTCTTTAAGTTAAAATAAAAAATGTTTAATAATCTTAAAAGTACACAATAAGTTAAAACAAAAAATGTTATCTTATTATTATAATATTATTTTCTTTAAGTTAAAATAAAAAATGTTTAATAATCTTAAAAGTACACAATAAGTTAAAACAAAAAATGTTATCTTATTATTATAATATTATTTTCTTTAAGTTAAAATAAAAAATGTTTAATAATCTTAAAAGTACACAATAAGTTAAAACAAAAAATGTTATCTTATTATTATAATATTATTTTCTTTAAGTTAAAACAAAAAATGTTATCTTAAAGAAAATAATATTTATTTATGTCTCTCCACTTTAGTATTGGCGCAGCAGCCACTTTAGTATTGGTGTAGTCGACTGATACGATAGCGCTGCTGCGCCAATACTAAAGTGGAGAGACATAAATAAATATTATTTTCTTTAAGATAACATTTTTTGTTTTAACTTAAAGAAAATAATATTATAATAATAAGATAACATTTTTTGTTTTAACTTATTGTGTACTTTTAAGATTATTAAACATTTTTTATTTTGTCACTGGACTTTTAAAGTACTACAAGGGTAATAATTGAAAAACACGAGGTTCTTTCAACGATGATTAAATCCGTTTATTAATACATGAAAAAAATCTAAAAACATGATTGAATAGTTGATAGTAATTGAAATGAATATGATTGTAATTGAAAACATAGAAAAAATTTCCACTTAGAAAGTACTCATGCTTCCTAAAATAAATTTCAAATGTACCGCTCAAATCCTAGTTAGAATTTTAACCGCATGAGACTCAGCGACGCCGGGCCATGTGGTGGCTGCTGCAGCGAGACTCACTACACGTGCTTTGCTTGCCGGTGCACACCACGATCAACTTTTTTACAACGTGCGCGTTCGATTCGAAAGACCGTATAACCTATATTCCATCTATAACCATGTCTAATAAACAAGCAAAAAAAAGGCCACAGAAAAGAAAATTCAAACACAACGAAATTATTTCCAGCTCCGACGAAGAATTCGACGAACAGAATGGGTATGTAAAATTTTTCGGGACTCAACAAGCTAAATCCAAAGTTATTCAGTATGTCATGTAAACATAATGCAAAATTGTTCGATTACTTGCAGTCAGAATCAAGGGTACGAGAGCGAATCAGAATCTGAAGATGAAACTGCACAACAGAAAAAGATAAGGTTGGCCAAACAGCGCATAGCTGAAGTGGAAGAAGAAGGTATGTTTTTATAAATTTATTCAAAACATTAAAGCAATATTAAATCATAACCACATATTTTTAAAAATTTATTTTCATGTCTTACAGAGCAGGATCGTCTTGAATTTGACAGAGGTGCTATTGACAAGCGATTACATGAAGAATACTTGGAAGAAAAAGGTCGTTTGAGAAAAAATGTGGCTGACAGCTATACAGGTCACGAAGAAATCAAAGTACTGAAGTGCAAGGATCATCGTGATCCTATAACTTGTTGCTGTTTAACTAGCGATGGACAAACAATATTTTCTGGAAGCAAGGATGGATCTATTGTTAAATGTAATTGAATGATTAATTTAAATTTTGTTTTTTATCAAAAATGATCAATTTCAATTTTTAATTATTAAAAATTTTTTAGGGTCCGTGTCAACACACAAGAAGATAAGTTCTATTAAAAGGCAAGATAAAACCAACAAAGATGGATTAAAGTACATCAGGTGCCTAGCTGTTAGCAGTGATAGTAAATATTTGGTGAGTTCTTATTTTTATAAAATTTTCATATATATGCCTCTGCAACTGCTGTACTTAGATGCTCAACAATATACTTTTAAAAGTGTTATCAAGGCTTCTAAAGCTATCGTTTGGTGAATTTTTACCTTTTTGTATACTTCATCAACATACAAAGTTAGGACAGATTCATTTTTGGCCTGCAACACCTGTTGTGGAATAGCCAATATTAATGACATTAATTGACTGTTGATTCTCTGTGCGTTTGTAATATTTTTCACAAATCTTATTTTGGTTTTTAACATTGATTCACAGGTGGCTGGATCAAATTCAAAATTTATCCATGTTTACGATGCTTCTGACCTGAAGCATCTGAAAAACCTTCAAGGCCATCGAGATGTTGTTTCTGGTCTAGTATTTAGAAAAAACACACACTTTCTTTATTCAGCCTCGATGGATCGTTGTGTGAAAGAGTGGAATTTAGATGATATGGCTTACGTCCAGTCTTTGTTTGGACATCAAAGTGGCATCACTTCAATAGATGCTTTATCAAAAATGAGAGCTATAACAAGTGGTGGCTTTGATGCTTCAGTGAGGATATGGAAAATTACTGAAGAGTCACAGCTCATTTTCCAAAATAATTTTTCTGGAAGTATAGATGAGGTCAAACTCATCAATGAAGAAAATTTCTTGAGTTGTGCAGATGATGGTACACTTTGTGTTTGGAGTGCACAGAAGAAAAAACCTTTGTGTCACGAACTTAGTGCTCATGGAATCGATGAAACTAATGGATTACCTATTTGTATTTTGAGTGTTGCCACTTTACTTAACACCGATTTAGTAGCTTCAGGTCAGTAAATTTTACCTTTAAAATTTATCTAAAGACTTGATAAACCATTATGGTTTATAAATTCTTAGGTTAAACATATATTAACGTAAATTATTTTTTTTAGGTTGCCGAAATGGTACCATTAAGTTGTGGAAAGTCGGCAATACATTCAAAACCCTTCAACTTTTATTTGAAATAAAAATTCCGGGTTGTATCAATTCGCTGTCATTCACTCCAGATGGAAAGCAATTAATAGCTGCTGTAAGTCAGGAACCCAAGTTAGGAAGATGGTGGAGGATTCGTGAGGCCAAAAGTGGTATATATATAATACCGCTGACAATGAATGCACAAAATAATAATAATCCTAGTAAAAAATGAAAGGCGAAACATTAAGTTTCGTGATATACGGTGACGTTCGACTTCTGTTTTTTTTGTGGTGTTGTTAATTGAAATTGGAACCATTTAAAAGTAAAATTAATAAGCTTTCAAATGGAAAAAATACCATAGTTAACCGCCATTCTAAAGAAACAACCTAGTGTATATAGTGAATGTGAATAGTAGAATAATGTAAGTAATTTTTAAAACAAAGCTTCTAATTTTGTTGAAATCCACATTAAATAAATTATAGATTCTAATAGAATGAAATGAGATGTTCATTCTATTGGCGTTTATTTGAACCCGTTTTTCTAGAATGATTTATACTGATTATTATTGAAGAAAGTATTTTTGAAATGCTGTCATTTATTGTACAAAATAATAAAATTTAAAAAATCTTACAAAATTATAATTATTCCTCATTTTATTTTTCTTACAAAAAATCATATCAATGGCTTGTAATTCTTGTAGAATAAATAAATTATATAAGAAGTAGGTATAGTGAAATTAAAAAATAATACATTTATATTAGTTCAGGAATAAAATTACAATGTAATGATTTGAAGCTGAAGTAGCTCGCAAACAAATGTAAGTAAATTAAAAACGAGAATAATTTATAATTTCTCAAATTATTCCAAAGCTGGTTGCTCTTTGCTGAGAAGCATATGACTTATTTTATTATAGTCCAATGGTTCGCACATACTACGATTGAAAAGACTAATGGCTCGTTTTTTCAAATATTTCGCGTTGTATGTATCAGCAAATGCAAGAGCTTTAACAGTGTTTTCAGTAGATAAATTGGAGGCTAATTTTAGATCGCACGTATTTTTTAATCCTTCAAGTTGATATTTCTCGGCTGCCGCCAAAAGTTCTGAAGTCAAGGAAAATTCTTGAGCTTCAACACTTCCTGTGTAAATGTACCGCAGCATCTCAACTGCAGCTTCGTACTTCACATCCATCATATCAACTGATTGGCTTTGGTTTTCCATCATGTCATGGCTAAACATAGCTTTGAATACCGGACTCGCATTCGCGAGCACGACTTTATGTGCTGGAATTTCTTTCCCACATGAAGTTCGTAGCTTGATATCGCTTAAATTTTCATTAAGAAAAATCCAGTTGAAGTCTAGTTTAGGTGCCAATTCTTTGCTTTTATCAACTCTAGATTCAGATTCTATAAATGATCTTTTAACTCCGCTCGATAATGTTAAGGCACATTTAACAATTGCATCATTGCAATCAGGAAAATAGTTGTCAGAACTGGGTGCAGGTATCAATTTAAGGCTTATTTCTTCTTTACTTGTTTCAAACATTATCTTACGATTTATAATTGACGACCTATTTTGGCGTAAATCGATAACTGATACTTCGCAGATACATTTGAACTGATTTTTTATGTTTGGGCAGCAGAGATATAAAACTCTATTTCTTTTATCGTCATAGATCAATCGAAAATAAAATTCTTCACCGCATTCGGCACTGAATATTGGTGATTCTAAACATTCGTTTGTAGACATCAGAAATTTCGAATTTTTAATCGTCCACACAAATTTGCAGTCTTCTCTATCAACGCACGTAGTTCCTGAGACACTAGTTACGTTTGACATTTTATACTGAATGAAGATTTTGAATGGTTTTATTTCATGCACAAAAACTGTAGCACAATATGCTGCTGCGTCAAACTATTACTGCGACTGACCGTGCAGTGCGAGTCCAAACAAGTCCGAACTTGCATATCGACAACGCTGTAAAGTTTACAACTGGTGAAAGTGTATTTTTCATTTTAGCCTTGAACAGCATCATATGGTGCATTATTTCAAAAGCGTGATATGGCACGTTTTGTTATCGTAGCAATTAGAAAACTTAAAAAAATGAAAACTAAGACGGTAGGACCTTTCATTTTACCGAATTATACCTTCCTCAACTATAAAATTTTCATAAATTACGAACACATTGGTTTTGCCAGTCGGATTAACATGCAAAATGTCCCCTCCGTGACCTGTCCTGAACTCAGAATCGATTATTTTCACTCATTAAACACATTTTTACAAATATCCAGACATTGGCCCTATTCTAGACATCTTAAATAAAGTTTTTTTAACATAACTCGTCATCTTAAATAATCTAAACACAATTGTACATCATTACAAATATAGTGCCAGTAAACGTGCTAGACAGTAATTTTGACCTCTTTAACTATACGAGGGTCATCTTTCAGAACTAAGGTACTCGATTTTTACCCGTAGGATATTCAAATCTTCATTGCAGCTTCGCTATAACAATAGTTGCACACGAAAATCCTCTAATAGTAAAATAAAGTGTCCCCTCCGTGATCGACGAATTTTCGAGCTAGCACTTTTTGTTTTTGACTCTGGTGGCATAAAAACGTTCGTTTTTAAAAACAATTTTTGTGGGTGAATGAAAAAAAAATATTAACTTTGCTGTCGTCGTAAAACTGGATAAAAGTACAATTTGTCCCCTCCGTGACAAATTTTCATGTTTGCAACAAGAAAATAAATGCATTTGATGATGGCCGATGAAAAGTAAATATTCCATGAAAAAACAAAGAATCGAGTGTCAGAAACTATGGGGGTTCGGAAAAATTAAACTCAAAATAGAAGAAAGTAAGTTTTTCGGTTTTTCCAATAGCTATGGTCCATTTACCCACTCCAAATAGCACACTTTTGAAATAATGGACCATATAATAAGTTAATTTAGAAGTATGAAAATTTCAACAGTTGAACTTGAACAAATTCACGAAATATTTTCAGTGCAATGGTAAATCAGTAGCTTTTAAAGTATCATTGGTTCAGTATTTAGTGTATCAATTAAATATTATGGCAAAAAGTCTCAGCAGCAATTGAACAATGTGGTTTGTCGTTAACAACTCCAAAATGAAATCATCAAGTTTGCGTTAAAATATTTTATTTACCTCTTTGACATAGATATATAAACATTTATTTTTGTGCCACGAAACATGATACACGATTCGCTAATTACATATTGAAATATTACAATGGAATCGTAGTCTAATTCCAGAATTATCGAATTTTATTTTTTTAACTTAAACATTAAAGTTCTGAATCACAAAAAAGTATTTTGAATTCATAAAAAAAATGCAAATTACGCGTACACTTATTTTAAAAATACTACTTTTATTACAAGTATAGCTATAAATGCGCATAATGTATCGCACTTTTGAACGAATTTTTTTTACGAGTGAAAAAATAATAAGAATCCGAGATAACGAATTTTCTGCAGATTACTATCACATATTATTTAATACTTTCTCACTGAAAATACATGTACGTACTAACAGTCAGTTATTCACACCTACTTGCGAGCCAAGTAAAAAACAGAAGGAAAACATAGTTGCTTTGCACACTCAACAAAAAAAAATGTAAACAATTATTGTTTGAGCGCTTTGAAGAGCAAATACAAACATATTATGTACGACCGGTAGTGCAAGTAATGAAATTCTACAATTATAAAGCTTTTCAGTTGAATAAATAAAAACAATCTCATTAAAATATTTTATAACGTTTTTTAATTGCTCTACAAAAAAATTTGATTAAAAAATAGTACCGCGACATCGTGGTAAATTAATTCTAAAGTACTGAAATTAAAAAAAAAAGAAGCATTTAATTTTCTAGACCAAAATTGTACATTTCAGTCGGCTGATAAAGTATACGAACTTATGCATTAAAGATTTCGAAACAATCGCAGAAACTTTTGTCGAAAGATATCTTTCAGTTCAAAGTTAATCGGTAACTACCCAGGTAGTTTCAAACTTATTTCAATGTTTGTGCTTTTCCAATCCATGTCTATATTTTCACTTGCATAATTAAAAAATAAACTCTCTTTTCGTTCGTTTCGGAGGGTACGTTCAGGCTGGCGATACACCTCCCATTGGCTCGACTGGCGCAGCTCTCTCCTCTGCAATGAAAAGTAGTATAAATAATCTTTTTCGATTAATCAAGTTTTTTATCATGTTATTCACCGACACGAGAATCAAAATACGAAAAATCTCAAAATTTTAACTCATTCGCTCGAAGCGTCGCTTCGTGTCATACTCTGATAAAGGAGGAACAGCGGCGCTAGATAGGATACGAATTAAAACGGCAAGTTTCAGCCGGCTGTATACGTATACAGCAGTACACACAGGAGACAACAACAGCGAGACGCTTTGAAGCTTCGTAATAATATAAAGCTGTGGAGCTTTTGGAGCCGTCGTTCCGCTGCGGCTCGTGCGCGAGGCGGACGTGCGCTCTATATATGTACGAACGCGTGGGTACATGCACGTTGCAAATATATATTGTATGAGTCGAGCTAGCACAAACTCGATATTCAGCTGGGAATAGACGTGTTTGGTAAGACTAAACCTCGCGAGAGCCTAACGCGCCCTGCCCATCTTACGTCGCTCGCATCGTATAGTTGTAATTCATTAACGAAATTCAAGTGCCGCTCCAAAGAGAGATCGCAATATTTGTATTAATGCAAAAAATAGATTATTAGAGTCGTCGTATTCTAACGATATTGTGCAGCTAAATCAAAATTCATCTAACTGAAAGTTACACGTTTACAAACGTTTACGTCGAGTGTGACATTCGATGATTATTACAATCGGGAACGGCCGGCTCCGTTGCGCTCGAAGAGCTCCGATGCAATCGTCGTGCGCAAGGGTCATTGTGCAGCTGTAATTATTCGGTAAAACGAAGGGATAGCGAAACAGATTGATGAATGGAAGCTCTCGGCTCGGCTAGATATGGGTATTAATTGCTGCGCCGCGCCGGGATGCAGCAGCAGCAGCAGCAGCGCGGTCTACCTGTCATAAGCTCGAAATTGTGCATTGTCTGTTAAATCACGTACTCTCTCGCGCTCGCTCGTATTTCAAGCGTGTGCAGCTGCGTATTATAACTTGTACTCGAGAAACTTCACCTTTGGATCCGCGAGGTATATATAATAACTACTACTACTGCTCCGTGTCGAGATCAGAACTTCTCTCGGTCTTACGGATTATTGGATGTTGTTTAAAGCACGGCGAAACACGGGGAGGCGCGCAGACAACGAAGTTTGCGTAATTTACAAAGGAAGTCGAAAATCAAGAGTAAAGCGCGCGTAACTAAGATCGAGTCGAGAGCAATTACGTAAAAAAGAAACTTGGATAATCGGATAAACGCTGCTTTTCTATCGAACGACTTTTGCGCTAGCCAATCGAACGCGTTCGAGCACGAATATATTGTATACGAGCGAGGATCGAGCGAGGTAGGATAATTAATTGAGCGTTATCGCGTCGCTAATTCAATTGGAGAAACACCCAAACAATGGCCGGGAGTAACTTGATTACGCTTGCTTCCCAGAGACAGGAAGATAAATCGAGAGCTATCGATGGTGCGTACATGGATGGCACAGTCTGTAATATAGGAAAAACGCGGCGAAGCCACAAGTGATCGCGCTGCTGTTTCAATCAATCGCGAAGAATTTCCAAGGCATTTTCTTTCTCATTTCAGTCGATCGATGTTATTCGATCTATACATATATACTCACCGACGACCTGAGCGAGCGCGTTGGTGCTTTTGAAGTGTTCCTTGTTGGCCGAATCGAAGGAAATCATAACCGAGCTGGCGTTTTCGCACCAGTTCCAGAAGACGAGGCGCTGTTTGCGCGCCTCGAGATCGGTCGAGAGGAGAGACAAATTTTTGGCTACCGTCGTATCGATTCCTCGTACGTTTTTGCCGTCGATCACGACGATCTTCGTGTTCTGCATGCTGTCGCACCTGCAACGCGTCGAAATAAATTTGAATTCGTCTATAGTAAAGTCTTCCTCTCGATTAAAGTCAAACGAACCAGTTCATGACGCGCTCCCTGAGATACTCGGCGGCGGGAAAACTCAGCGACTGTTGCGGCATCACCAGAAGAATCGATGCGCCATTTTCCGTGCGCTCCTCGAAAATGACTTCGGGACGGGCGGCGTAGTACAGCAAGGATAACAGATTCGACGCGATTCCTATTAACATGCCGTAGTCCAGTCCAAATGCCAGGCACGTTATCAGCGTCACTATCAGCGGTATCAGGTCGATTTCTGAAAACAATTTTGCAAAAAAAAAAGTCAAATGTAAACGCTACGGATACAATCTACTCTCTCGTGGCTCTCGGAATGTGTGCCTCGTACTTTTGGTCCTCCACAGCAGCCGGAACAGCTTGATCTCGAGCATGTAGTACATGGCGATGATGATGACGGCGGCCAGAGTGGCCTTGGGAATGAAGCGGAAGGTGCCGGTGAGCAGGCCGCAGGCGAGCAGCACGAGGATGCCGGTGACGAGGCCGCCCATGGGGGTGCGCACGCCCGAGGCGTTGTTCACCGCGGTGCGAGTGAAGCTGCCCGTGGTGGGCATCGACCTCGCGAAGCTGCCGAACACGTTGCACAGGCCGACGGCCAGCATCTCCTGATTGGCGTTGACCGTCTTACCCTTGGCTACATTCACGCGAATTCGAAAACGTAAGTCGAGAATTTCACCGGGTTACGATAGAAATCAGTGTATGGTATACCGAAGGACTTGGCGATGGCGATGCTCTCGAGCACGGCGATCAGCGGCACCGAGGCCATGCTCGTGCCGTAAATCCGGACCATGTCGACGAAGCCGTAGGTGACGTTGTTGTGGGTGGTGGAGAAGGGCGGCGGCGTGAGGCTCGGCAGGCCCGCGGCTATGTCGCCGGTTATCTTGAACGGCGACAGGCCGTAGAGCGACAGCAGATAGGCCAGCAGCATGCCCAGCACGACGACGACGGCGTTGCGCGACAGGGTCATGATCCACATGAGCTTCTTGCCGGCGCTGCCTCGCCGATTGCCCGGTAAATTCTGCAAGTTAATGCACACACGCGCGTTGAGAAAGAGAGAGAGAGAAATTCGTTCGATGCGCACGATAATAATGAATATACCTTCAAGCCGACGAGCAGTATCATCGAGAAGACGCCGAGGAGCGTGTCGCCGAGCTGTATCTCGTCGAAGCGCTCGACGAGCTTGCGCATGGCGTCGACGAAGGACTCGGCGCGGCCCTGGATGCCGAGCAGCGTGCCTACCTGCGACGAGCCGATGATGATGGCCGCGGCGTTGGTGAAGCCCGCGATCACCGGCATGCTGATGAAGTCCACGAGGAAGCCCACCCGTAACAGTCCCATCAGCGCCATGATGCAGCCCGACAGAAAGCACAGCAGTACCTGTTCGGGGGAAAAAATACGCACGTTATTTTTGAACGAGGTGTTATCGATCGTTTACGAAATATAATATACGTACCGCGAAGTCGGCACCGTACTGTCCGACGTAGGGCTGAGTGAGCAGGCCCATGATCGCCGTCGGGCCGACCGTCACGTCTTTCACGCTACCGAAGATTATATAAACGAAGCATCCCATGAAGCTGCTGTAGAGTCCGTACTGTAAAAATAGATATACACAAATAGTTAATAGGCGCGTGTATCGGAGTGCAAAATTCTCGTGACGTCGATAAAAATTATCCGCTAATTAAGGCCGTTGCGTGTGTCATTACAGTATATAATATACACTGTATACAGGTTTCGTGCCAATCAAGATCGACAAAAATTTGTCTCTCTCTCTCTCGCTCGAGCGTGCGTGATTAAATCTTTATACGTTCGCGAGGAAGAAAAAAATTAGCGAACAAATATTTCGAGAGACTCGTTAAGGGATCGCTATCGGCCAAGCTGAATCTTTGCACGTTCGTGTAATATATATCAAAATCTATAGCTCGACACTTCCATCGACAAAACATGTTGTTCCGAATCGAATCTTCACTCACATCTCTTCTTTTTTTTTTTTCATTACCTCCGCTGAGCTATCGAATAAAAATCGATTCTATAGACGAGAAAAATATTAGGCGGGGCTCTCACCTGCGGCTCCAATCTGGCGACGACGGCGTAAGCGATGCCCTGGGGTATGGCCGTGAGGCCGACGGTCAGGCCGGCCAGTGCGTCCTGCAGAAGTTTGCCCCAGGAGTACTCGGGCAGCCAGGCGACGATGGGCAGCCGCCTCCGCACGAGGCTCTTGACTCGGTCGTTGATCGGGCTTCGCATCCTCATCTCGCCGGTCGTACCTGCATACGTCGTACACCATAAATCACATCGGGTTTATACAAAGATTTTCCTCGTAATAAAACATTTCGAATATTTTCAGATTACGAGTCGTACGTAGAGATCGCGATGAAAAGTAATCGCGCCGATTTCGACACTTTATTATTAATATGGGCTATTCCACAACAGGTGTTGCAGGCCCAAAAAATGAAGTTGAAACAAACCATTTACTCTTCAAGAACACAATGAAAAATGAAAATCCTCAACACTACAGTCCTCTAGGTCCAACCCTTATGGATCTACAGGGGCTCAAAGTTGGATTTTCATGGTATGAGGATATTCTGCTTCTTACTCTGCTTTTCTGGGGGGACATGAGAAAAAATTTTTAAACCATGTTTTTTCATGTAAAATTTGATGAAGAATTCAAATCTGTACTCAAATGAGACATTCATAAGCTCAAAACCCCTTAAAATTGAAAAAATAGAGCAAAAGTCCATCAAAGTCTAAAAATAAATGTGTTCGTATACCTCAAATCAGCCCATATTGTAATATGTTCATCGATACACCAAAATACAACTTCTGATAAAGTTTGGTAACTTAGTCTCCATTACAGATCATTGTGAGGCTTTTGAAAGGCCAAAAAACATGGTTTTTTCCTCATTTTCCATGTTTTTTGCCTCTTCGCTAGCTACCAAATTGTCTCTATTAGAGACTCAGTTACCAAACTTTATCAGAAGTTGTATTTTGGTGTATCGATGAACATATTACAATATGGGCTGATTTGAGGTATACGAACATATTTTTTTTTTGATTTTTATGTCCTATTACACCATACTTTCTATTTCAAGGGGTTTTGAGGTTATTAATGTCTCATCTGAGTACAGATTTGAATTCTACATCAAATTTTACATGAAAAAACATGGTTTAAAAATTTTTTCTCATGTCCCCCCAGAAAAGCAGAGTAAGAAGCAGAATATCCTCATACCATGAAAATCCAACTTTGAGCCCCTGTAGATCCATAAGGGTTGGACCTAGGGGGCTGTGCCCTTCAGGATTTTCATTTTTCATTGTGTTCTTGAAGAGTAAATGGTTACTTTCAACTTCATTTTTTGGGCCTGCAACACCTGTTGTGGAATAGCCCATATACATATCGTGCACGAGTTAACTCAAGAAAATATTACTCGCGCGAATCGCTCAATAACAAATGAAGCATCGTTATATTGTAACGCGAGTGATAAAGCGCTTCGCACGCGTCCGCGCTTTTTTGCGGCCTTTATATCGATGTATATTTTCACATGCAGATTCTTTCGTCTTTTGAAGATCATCGAGCTTACCGACGCGGCGAAAATTCATTGGAAATTCGAGCACAAAGAAAATCGAAACTCGGATGATATAACAATTCCCTTTTTTTTTCGTCGAGTTTAATGACCGTAGAAGAGGAGCGTTTAATTGGGTATATATAAGCAATCGATCGTGACACACGACGCGGCGAAAATTTTTTGTGCTGTTAATTTACTAATTGAGTCGTGAAAATGAAAATGCATCGAGTATAAAAACGACTCGTTAATGAGTATATGATAATTAATTGCTTCGCGAGTACTCGACCGTGCCGCAATTTTCGTTAAACACTTTTTTTTTTAACGATCCAGGAAGAATAAAAAAAATTTTTTTTTTTTCTCGAATATAAAGAACCGATTCACACGCGGGCGCGAAAGACGAATACTTATTTCTCCGTTCGCGCAATAATAACCCCCTGAGATCGAATGCAAACACGTATTTCCACTATATTGAACATTTTTCACTGCATAGATCAAGCTCTCTCTCTCTCTCGGTTAATGGTATAAATTTCGATATCCTGTTATCTCCTTACTTGCTTTAACGTACGAGTACTTTTTGGTCATCTTCTCGGCAGTGGCGTAAATACGAGTAAATATATATCTATAAAACTGCAAAAATCGCGCGCGTGTACCGATATCTCGCGCTTACACACACGCGCCTTGCACAGTTGGATATTTATTTCAGAGAAAAAAACAGTTTAGAAAACAGCATCGACTGTTCTTTTTTCTTCTTTTTTTTCAATCCGCGTTACACATCGTCAGCAGAACGACGCACAACTTGTAATACTGCACAATAACAACAACAACGCGAGACTTTTCTGCTGCGCGCATCGTATACGAGGCAACAAACGCATATAATTTGCCAACTACTGAAATACTATAATACAAAATCGTGCAAGAATCCCGTGTGGTGGGCACGCACACACACAAACGCGCACACACACGTATATATGGAGTCACAGTGTGGCGGTGAAACTGCTTTCTGCGTGCGGTACAGAGACGTATTTTTTTTTCTTTTTTTTTCGCGGAGACCGCGGCCGGCCGGGGTTTTACATAAGCCGGCGAGACTATACACGCGAGTAATCTACGGTATGTGCGTGAATAAATGCGCGATATAGACGCCACATATAATATAATGTAAAGCGTATTAAATACGGTAATAATCTAAGTAGTGCTAATTTGCTTTATTGGACTGCCTGCCTGCCGAGAGGTATAGACGTAAATATAGGTGTCATTTGAAAAAGTAGAAAAAACGGCAGATAATGAGAAATAAAAAAAAGTCGTACAAAGTGAAGAGTTTACTAACCGTTTCGCTCGGCGTCGAGATTTCGATTATAATTGTAGAATTTGTATATTCATTATTGCCCCGGCGAGGTCGATATCTTGCACGGTTAAACTTATTAAATCTAGAGTGATAAGATGTTCTAATAACGATAAGAATATGCGTTTTATTGTTCGCGTGTATTACGATCGAAACGATCGATTTTAATTTGCCAAAAAAAAAGAGTAGTATGTCAAATTCAACGCGAAGAGGAGGCCAACTGGAAGAGAGGCGCTTTTGATTTATTACGTGCCCGTGACTATTTTTTTTCTTCTTTTCGTAAAGTTCTCGTTCATTTTTGGCTCGTTTCACCGCGAGAGAGAGAGAGAGAAGAGGGCAAATAAGACCGATAAAAAAGAAAGTATCGAGTCGGCAGAGACGCATGCATGTTTGCAAGGAAAATATTTAACGCGTGTATATATTGATGGCGAGCAAAATTTTTTTATTATACATCGCACGAAATACCATCGATAATACAAGAATTGAAAAATATTACGTCGTCGTTGTACACAACGTGAAATTAGTTTAAGTGTATATACGTGAATAAAACAAGCCAATACGAAAGATAATGTTAATTACGAAGATAGAATTCTTTGAACGCTATTTTGAAACAATATAAAATAAGCGTCATCAGCTTTTGAAACGAAAAAAAAAAGTAATACCGAAACTTCAAAGTACTCTATTTACCTGTACAACGGGCTTGTTTATACGCCTCGATCGCTGTTTATCTTTGTAATAAATTCACTTCGAGCGTCTAACGTGTAATACACACGTGTAAAATATCATAATAAACTATGTGGTACACACACTACACACACTTTTGGCGTTAAGTCACCGTAGGTTGGCGCGGGGCGCGCGCGCGGGTGCCCACGCACACGCACATGCACACACGAATTTCAAATCACCTCGAGATATTCGCCATCGTCGCCGTTCGACGTTCAACGAGTAGAAGAAGTCGGTATCGGTACCGATGCACGCGTAATCATAGCTCGAGCTTGACTGACGCGTGACCGAACCGATAGGTTGAAAAACTCGTCTTGTGTGCTACTGCTCCTTCCTCTCGTTTTTCGATTCCGATATAAAATAATGTGTGTAGTGTGAGAGGCGGCTCTCGAGAGAGAGAGAAAGAGCCGAGTTTACATTGAAAAAGAAGAAAGCCGTCGTCGTCGAAAGCTCGAAGATAATGTCAGGCACTTATCGGCCTCGCGATACCGCTGTGCCGCGGCTTGACATAATTGATCGATGCATATCGCTCTCTCGGGCGGCCGCGAAATAATAATAATTGCTCAACGCGAAGATTGTGTATATTATAAAAAAAAATGTATATACTATCGATTTATTTCATTTCGACCGAATTCGTTGGAATCTAATTTCGGACTGAGCGCACGTATTCGCATATGCCGCTTGAAATAAAAAAAAATAATAATAATACGAGTTGGTTTTTCGCGAGCGAATCAAAAATGCGCTGAGCTGGACACTATAGTTCTCTTGACCATCTAATAAATCATAGAAAAAATATTGTTTGTAGTCGAGGAAATAGGAATTAAAAGTCAGCAACAATGGCTTGGAATCGTAAAAAAAAATTGCATCCTTATTTTTTGTTCGCATACGAGTAAACATTTCGTAATGCTAATGAAAATATAATTTAAAATGATAAACCGATATATAATTTTGCTGAATCATGCGTTAGTGTTTGAATTATAAAATTATAATTTACGATGATTAAATTACTTGAATAAATTGATTGGGTAAGTTTAAATAAAAAATTATCAATTTCGCCTTTTATGATTTCGCATGAAACTCGAAAATCAATAAAAAGTAGATGTAAAGATTGTACCCTTAATAAGAGTGTACACTTTAGCTTATGTGCAAATCTGGTTGCATTGTGTCTCTCAATTACGTAAATATCATTGATGGCACATGAAACCTTTGAATGTAAATATTGTTAATTATCTTTTGTAATGTTAATGCCTACTTTTCAATCGTTTGTTGGATTTTATTGGATTAAAAAATTTCTGACTGTTAATGATTCAATCAAATTTCTCTTTGTAAACGTTTATATTTATTGTCGGGCAAAGTTTCATTCAGGCACATGGTATTGTGCACTTTCATTTGTATGCATAAAGAAAATGTGTGTAATAATTGAACCAAAATGAGAAAATATTAATTGATTAACAAATTCAATCGCAATTATCTTTTATTTGTTCAATCATTACATACATTTTTCTTTTGCATGAAAATAGAAGTACACAACATAAAACAGGTTTGAATTATACCTTGTTTATTTTTGTTTAAACAAAATAAAATCAATGTCGTGAAATCCTTTTACACTGATTTCTCTACAATCACGTTGATGAAAAAAAAATTCAAAAAGATTTTCGCAGTCGGTAGGACTCGAACCTACGCTCCCAGAGGGAATCTGATTTCTAGTCAGACGCCTTAACCACTCGGCCACGACTGCAGATGATATAGGTAGCCAAACACTTCGATTTGTATGTTATCACGCATACATCTAAAGCCAACTTTGAAAGGGGATTACTTTGACATACATCCGAGTTCAATGAACGTAGATAACAAAAAGTGCAAGTTGTTGATGACAATTTAATTATTTAATTAATAAACTAAAAAAAATTTACGAGTACAAAACTTCGAAAAATACGTATAGCAGATCAGGTTGAGTGTAATTACAGTAATGATAACATGATTCTTCGATAGCACGTATCGATGTGTATAATTATTTATTGCATTCATTTATTTGCATAAAGAATCTTACGTGATATGCACTATTAATAGAAACTTAACCTCAATCAGAAAACTATACTCATTTGCGAGATTATTAGTAATTTTTCATATATTTTTTTAATTGTAATATTTTTCGGATATAGAATTCGATCAATTTATACGCTAGACCATCCGTTACAAACCTCAACTAAACATTAGTCCCCTTTAACGACAAATATTTGGATTCCATTCGCTGGAATAAATATCAACCACTGCCATCGATTAGTTGAATTATATTTGGGTATATACGCCTACACAAGACTCACTCAACAATGGCGCCATATCCGAATTCATGATGCAAACGAACAACCATAATCAACAATAAAGGGAGGATCAACTGTGGTGTTCGAAACGGCTTTGCATGCTGCCCGCCCGATCGAGTGGCTGCAGTTCACTAGAGAGCTTATGTATAATACACACACACATACGAGCACAAAACATGCAGTGGATTTATTATTCCATGTGTAATACGCGTTAACATCGCTCTCTCGCGCCTGGAGAGCGATGGCCGCTGCATCGTGATGTGCATTCGAAGTTTCGCGGTGTGAATTTCAGTTTTGATTATGGAAACGATCGTTGCGGTGGAGTTTGTACAGGCTCGTTGGATCAATTATGAATGTATCTATCACACGAAAGTCTCTCGAGGCGGTACAGTCCGCTTATATGCGGATGTAAAGCAATGTTATGATATATATGGGTCAAGCCGAGAGTATTACAAGTATCTCGCACAGGTACAGAAAAAAAAAGTTGACGCACAGATATCAATCGCGCGTAAGTCATTAAAACGATCCTATAGTGACGAACGAATTCATTTATTGTTTTAAAACGAGCTCCTTTAAAAAGTTAGGCAGCAAAGTAGAGCTTCGTTTACGCACGTACGGGTTCGATTCGCCGGTTGTACGAGATAAGTGCGAGATTTCGTTCAAAGTAAATATTTGAGTTCGTATGGTGATATTAAGACATCCGTGAACTACCATAACTTATGTTTGTTTAGCATTAGGTGAACATGAAGTAGAAAGAGTAACTAAACTTGACAAAAAAAATATTATGTTTGATATCTCAAAGAATTTAAAAAAATAAAACTACTATTTCATCTTGTGTAGCTTGTCCATATTATTATAATTATAAATTAAATGTCCTAAAGTCTTGGATCTTCTTATAAAATAAAAATTTCAAATCAACAATGGATTAAATTTGGAAGTTCAATTCTCACACTGAACTTAGCTTATGAGAAATCGTAAGATCGAACCATCGTGATTGCGCAATGGACACGTGTTACTAATACTCGTACACGTATCGAAGTATTTGGAAATGAATTTCGCTCGGCGAAATATCGATGGAGAAATTTCAAAAGACAAAACAAACTTCGACGAGGATGGGATTCGAACCCACGCGTGCAGAGCACATTGGATTAGCAGTCCAACGCCTTAACCACTCGGCCACCTCGTCTTCGAAAATTCAAAATCAGGCCGCTTTTGACAAAAAAAAATGGGCACACAATTGCTGCTAGACTGATCGAATGCTTTCGACGCGTAGGACCAGAAACATCGTTTGAAATGAAATGAAAATTACTCAAATTCGATATAGGCTGAAATGACTGAATCGATGCGATATCGCAAAATTTATGCGAAATTTTTTAAATTTTTGGCATAATGAGAAATGTGAAATATTAAAGGACTTTTATTGAAAAGCTGGCTAATTTAAGTGGTAGAAAGAATACCATAAAGATACCAAGATGGACGAGAAAATGGAAAAATTTCTGCTCTATAGCTCATTATAAAGTTCTGAAATAAATTTGCAAAAATGATCGCAAATGTTCATATGCAAACTTTTAACGAGTATTTCAACCCTTCCTTGAGCTATTGATATATTAATTCGTTGTTTTATAAACAAATTGAAAATTTTTAATTGCTCAGTGAAAAAAAAATCAAAATCGACACGTATCAATACAATTTTGCCTTGAGAATCGCAAAAAAGATCCGACGAGGATGGGATTCGAACCCACGCGTGCAGAGCACATTGGATTAGCAGTCCAACGCCTTAACCACTCGGCCACCTCGTCTTGTATATATATAGCTCGTATTTGGCACCACATAAGCAATCGGCGAAATTTTTGCGAAATTGCGAAATTTTCATCTCCACGGCTTTAACATCGAATCGAACGAATGAAAGTAAGAACGATCTTTACGTTTAATTTACGAATTGAAAATTTTTGGCACTTTTCGAGTAGAGTAAGGAAATTTATAATAATATGCCACACGAACTATCGTGGACTCAGGGGAGAACACCATAACTCGAACAAAACAAAAGATGTATACCCTTTTTTCGTAGCAATATGATATTAGCGCGACACAATCTTATATATAATACAGGAGCTCCAAGACATTCGAGCCTTATCTCATACTTCAAAGTCACAAATAACACTAATTCACATTGTATCGCTTCTGACGCTTATAATGTACATACACACACGAAACTCCTAGTTCATAGCCCGTTACAATGTAATAAATGACCTCGACGTTACCTAATACCGGAATCAGTTGCATCGCATCGCGTTCTATCGTGGCATGTATTACACACCAACGCAAATATGTATAGCTATACATACTGTATGATACATAGGTATAGGTAGGTATATACGAGGATTCGCAATTGTCGGGCAGCTCGTTTTGACCGAGACCGCTATGTATGCCGTGGCCGCGCGTATACGGATCGTCGAAGCGAATCCTCGAGAAATGTGCGCTTCGATTATGCAACGACGTCTCTCTATATCATGCTCTATATAGAGATGTACTTCAAAGTAAAGCCAACAGCTGATTCGCTAGGCCGGCGACTCTGTGGTGAAGCTCAATTGCAATGGAATCGATTATTCGACTTAATGAAAAGCACGATAATGCGAGAGAGACTAGGATAATTTAAATGGGCTGTCATATTCGTTTATAAAATTATGGAATGGCTTGATCTTGAAAAATTTTATATTTTTCTTTTAATTTTGCAGAATTTCGCCTTGACAGAATCGACTGAATAAGAGTCCCAGCGAATAAGAGAAATCGCGATGATGGTCAATTTTAAAGGGCTATCATATTTGTTCAAGAAAAATTTCCTTTTCCTTTCAATTACGTTAGAAATAATTGCAAATTATAACAATTATTATTGAATATTACGAGAGATTTTGTTTTGATAGTTCGCTACCATGATGTCCCATTGGGTGCGAGCCGCTAATGTAAACAAATGTCGAGCTCGCCTCGCTGTCGCGAAACGTCAAAGGCCCAATTAGTCGTTGTCCGAGCCTCTGATCGATAGTCGCTCTCCGTAGTAAAATAAAATAATTTTCAAAACTCAACTGACGATCGGTCAAATTTTATAAAAAAAAAAACCTCACTTTTATATACCTTTTTGACCGCTAAAAATTCAAAACAATGGTTGACACCGCCACCATCGACGTTATTACGGAGACGACCCGCAACCTGACCCTCGAGCAGGCCCGCGGACAGCCCTTCGACTACAAATGGATCATCAAGAATCCGCGCGACCAGGAGAGGATGGGCGGCCTCTATCTGTCGCACTCGCCGCAGTTCCAGGCGCTCTCGGCCGAGCAGGCCTGGAAGCTCGTCTGCTATCAGGGCAACACGGGCGAGGAGCACACGATGACGGTGGCCCTGGTCCGTACGCAGCCGGACGACGCCGGCGTCCAGTACGTCGACTACGACTGCAAGGTGTGGGATCAGGACGAGCGCCACCTCAATGCCTCGTACGGCTGCGCGAGCGTGCGCGGCAATCATCTGGTCTCGCTGGTGGACTTTCCGCGACACTCCTGGGAGATCAGCAAGGCCATCGTGATCCAGCTCAAGCTGTGGCGCAAGTCCGTGAACGCGGATTACTTTCAGCCCCAGCGCAAGACCTACCTGCACGACGGCACGGACGACTGCAGGGGGGAGCAGCAGCACGCGGTGAAGAATCTCTCGCTGGACATGGGCGAGGCGCTGCTCTCGGGCATGTTCTCCGACGTCACCCTCGTCGTCGAGGGTCGCAGATTCAAGGCGCACAGATTCGTCCTGGCTGCGCGCAGTCCCGTCTTCGCCCGGATGTTCCTGTCGAATATGCGCGAGTCGCGCGACCAAGAGATCCAGATACCCACGGCGAATCGCGACTGCTTTCGCAAATTTCTCCAGTTCTGCTACACGGACGCGGTGCAGAACGTCGAGCTCGACGCGATCGGTCTGCTGCTGCTTGCGGACCACTACGACGTACCAGGACTGCGCTGGGTCTGCGAGAAGTGCCTGCTGGCGGTGATGTGCCCAGAGAACGCCCTCGACATCATGCTCGTGGCGGATCTCATCAACGACGCCATGCTACTGACCAAGACGATGGAGTACATCAAGCCGCGCCAGGAGGCGGTCTACAAGACGGTGAGACACGACGAGCTCATGGCCACGAAAGCCACCCAGCTGCTGAGAATGAAGTGGATGGTCGAGCATCACGAGATCGAAGAGCCTAAAGAAGAAGAAGAAGCAGCAGCAGCCGAGGGAAAAGAATTTAGGGAGGTCTTGGTTTAGACTGTATGTGACGTGTGCGAGAAACGGGAGAGTCTCGACACGACGACGGATCGCGTGAAGCGCGACGACATTTTCATATTGATTGATTATTATAAACTGTACAAAGACTCGGATCGACGTGGAAAATTTATAAATAATATAAATTTATGACATGACAATTACGCGCGTACTATTTTTTTATACACCTTTCTGTCTTACGCCAAAGTTGAAAAAAAAAATTATATCGAAGAAGAGCAAAAACAGACAGCCCAGAAACCCGAAGCCAGAACGAGCGAGCACACATAAATCTACCACGTGAAAAGAGAGATATGAGATTCGTAAATGTACGTTTATTCTATCGGAGCAGAAGATAAAGTGCCCATAGACGAGAGAGAGAATGGGCTCGAGTAGCTCATCCAACACTGCTACCACCGCTCCATTAATTATTTGCTATTGCTTCGACAGCGGCGTATATATATACCCTGACCTCTCTTGCTCTCTCTCTCTCTCTCTCTCTCCATCTGTATACGTATAATGCGTTTAAACCGCACGGCTAAACTCGGTTACACCGATGCTGCCGTTCGTGGAATACAAGCGAGCCTCGACTATCTATAAATGGGGGATGAAAATTTACCGAAAGCCGGAAACGAACGCCGAGTATATCGGGGCCTTGTGCTCCGTCAATCTAGAGTACATAATGTACAGAGGAGGATAATTCGTACTTTATAATCGAATTATAAATACCGCGCAGTCGCAGCTTCGAGGTTGATCGATTCAAGGATAAAAATGCCCGCCGGGAGGAAAACGATTTTTTAACGAGCTCGTACGGTATAGACGACGCTCGCGAACTTCGAGTCGAGACGTGCCGGAGAGAAAGAGACGAAAATCGAAACCGGAAATGCGGTTTTAGCGCGATATACTTCAAAAATATTTTGCGCACGCGGAGCGTATATAAAACGAGAGATTTAGCGTGTTGAGCTCGAAAAATTCCCGCGCGCGCGCGCGCGACTGAACTGCGGAATCGAGTCTAGACTACCGAGAGTTTAGAATTTCTATTTCGGCGCGATCGTACGATGTTTACGTTTAATTATACGATAAGTTTATACGAGTTCCCTAATTCGTATCGACATTTTTTCTCGTAGAAAATTAAACTTCACGATCGAATTGAATTTATTTCGCGATTTTACGTATGCTCGTTTATGCGTCGGCATAAACATCGAAGTTACTCGTGTACTCGGATTATTCTGTATCGTTATCCCCCGGCACACACACGTGTGCGTTATAAAATATACAAGCGCGGTACACAACGTAACGCGAAGATAAGAAAACACCCTTATCAGAAAGTAAGCACGATCGGCTTAAGACGAGGTACGAGGCAAAGTTTTCGCGTGGAAGCTCTCGAGCTTTAAAGCTACGTATATAGCTCGACGTTAAAGCGAACGAACGAGAGCTCGCAACGTGTACGCGTGTATCGTTTTGGCTTTGGTGAGATAAACCCATCGCGAGTAGGATCGCGAGTGTCGCTTTAATAACTGTTGTCGACAAGTCAATGTTCTCGTTGACAAAAAGAAAAAAAAAATTGCATCGCGAATCGCGCGTCATTGTCGAATACAAATATCGGTAGCTTGCAGCAATCACGTGCGGGTCGTCACGATTTATTTATTCAGCACCGAGGAAAAAATTTCACGCCGCGCGCGAGCGTAAAATTAGAAACGCATATTTCATCTCTCTCTCTCTCTCTTATCTGAAGTTATTTGAAAGCTAAAGGTAGGTATTCTTTCGGAGTCTTGGCAGGATATAAAGATAAAAATTAATATCGGCGCTCGGTGAAAAATATATATTATTGTTATGTATCATGCGCGGCACGTAGCATTGAACGGTCGATAAATTATCGATTGATTCGCTGCGTTGACGCGTTACACGATACAAGCTGTAAAATCTGTTATTTTTAAAAAAAAACAAAATGTACTTATGCAAATACGAAGAAAAAATAAAGTAGTTTTACGGCGTGAAAATTCTACACTTTTTATTGCTCGAACTGTACTGTGGTTTGCATCCTACAATTAAAATCAGAACTAATTAACGATGTATGGCTCTTTACAAATTATCAACGCAAAAATGATGCGTTGACACGAAAATGCAGCACGTGTCGCGCGCGATCGTCAACATCTTCGCATCAATTTTTCCAAGCGGAGGACAATGGCACTTAGCTCGGCACGTAAACAAGTCTATAAGCTGCTGCGGCGAAGAGACACTCGGAGTGAAAATAACAAACGTTAGCATCGACAGCGCGCGAGAAAACGAAGAATAGCTTCTCCGATGTCGCCCATCCTTCGCACAGACACACACCGACACTCAAAGTGTATATAATATAAAGCACATTGCATCGCGCGCGGCATACTATGAGAGAGAGAGAGATAGTTAGATAGAGATTCCAATTGCAATTGCGCGCCTATATATATATATGTGTGTGTTGCAAGACAACGGAAGCACGCGGGATAGAACGAGATAAGAGAGGCCGGAAAGGTCGCGCCGCGCAGTGCGTTACGAGTTAGTGCGCGAAATACTGCACTAAATACCGAAAGCTGCGCACGTATCCATGCGATTTGGGCGATTGCATAAAACTCGAGAGTCGGCCCGATGTGTAATTTGCCCCGAACTTTTTTACGACAGGAGTCAATGAATTTTTCAAATCACAATGTTTTCGGGACGTCGAGATGATGCGTTTGTGCTTATATTTTTAGTAAAAAAAAAAAAAAAAAGCGAGAGAGCTTCTCGCAACATCGAGATAAGATTGAATTAAACATCGCGCTCCGGTGTGGTAATACAATCTGCAAGCTGCCTGCTGCTGCTGCTCCTGTTCATTCAACTCTCGCGTATTTTACTTCCGAAAAGTTCACACACAAACACACATACCCGGCGACGCCGCGTGTCACAAGATATTTTTCTCATTGTCGTCCCTCCGCTGCGCATCTCTTGCACTATATATACAACACCATATAATATATACACATAGCACGCAATTGTAATCAGAGCAAATGTATTTCCGCGCGATGATGGAAGAAAATGAAAAACGAAGCGCAAGAGAGAGAGAATAATCTGCGCAGCGAGCGAGCGGCTTTTTGCGCTTGGGGATATTTTATCAGCAGAGGCAGGCAGCCCAGGCAACAAAATGTTTACCTCTTCTCTCTGTGTGTGTATAGTAGTATAGCACAAGCCCGAAAAGAAAAACGAAGTAGAAAAAATAACGTAGCCAAAACGGAAATTGGATGAAATGCAGCAGTCCGCATGTGTACGTATGTATGTATGAGCAGGACGAATGAAAATGTAGGTTTATACGTACAGAGTCGTGCGTGCAATTTTTCAAGATATTGCTTTGCTCTCTGTGTCAAACTACACGAAATTACATAGAGCTATGTGTGTGCGTGTACCTGCTACTCGATTATTAAAAAATCTCAATTCGCAACGGGTTATACCGCTGCAATTCCCGCGAACTTTCGGGCGCGAATTATTTAGCGATCAAAGACGTTACAGTAGAGATTATATTACGTAGCTTGCGCGCCGTATAATGTACACGGGTTACGATACAAATTTTTTTGGATTATATAAAATGTTCGCCGCACGAAAGCTTCGAAGGTGTGCGAGCGTAATAAATCGATGCGAACTTTCGCATTAAAAATTCGAGCACGTTTTTCAAATGTTCGAGTGTGCGAGCGCGCGTGACTCTGGAATTGGCAGACACATTTTTCGAGCTATTAACGCCGAATCGAGTTGATTTCTAAATTCGCAGTTTTTATATATGGATTTGAAAGTCTATTAAATTTGTGGAAATTAAAATGCCACAGATTCCTCGGATTGTCTTGGGTTACGGACAACGCGATGCTCGAGTAGCCGCAAGTGCAAATGCAAGCGTGATTATTTACTCGGAACTATGATGTACGCGACACTGTATGTAAAAATATTGAAACGAAGGAAGGGGTTCAAAAGCATATAACGTATATAAGCCACAGGGGACCGTCGCTTTAATACGTATGTGTGTAGGATATATACAGTCATCGTCGCGATCCGCGCGTGTGTATACGTGTGTGTCCGCGACTAAAAAATCAGTATATACAAGCACCTGTCAGTACAGGAGTAGCGCTCAGCGGGCAACGATCGTGCGGCTTATTACAGAGCAGCAGCAGCGCGCCTAGCTGCTCTCCGATATACATATACAGCTAACGTCCGATCGCATCGTCGTCGCGATCGGCATATTAAAATCGACCGGCAGTTGGACAGTGTCGCGGTTACAAATCCTGCTCTTTCATTTAGACTTTTCATTTTTTTTTTTTTTGGCTCGTTTCGAATTTGGCGCGCGCTCCTTTTGATTCACCCGCGCGTTGGATGCAGAGGCGAGCGTGAGTGAGTGTGACAATTCGACCGAATTACAGAGAGAGACAATAATCTATATAATATATGTACTACGATGTGCGTCGAGCTTTAAAACTGGCAATTAACGTGCCCATGCACGAAGCTCGTTTTTTTTTTTGGTGCGCGTTACATGTATACGTGTGTGTGTGTGCAACAAGGCTCGTTTGCGAGTAGCCCAGGCGTTACGTTGACTGCACTTTTTTTTCCTCTCTTTTTTTTCTACTCTTTTTATTCTGTCATTCGAGCGCCGCCAGTCCATGACAAAGGATTAACTCGGCAGCGCATACACGCGCCGCGCTTGACGCTCGTTTAGAGTCTTTTTTTTTCTTTTTTATCGCCGATAAATATACGCGGCGTTATATATCGCTCCCCGCGCGTGTACCTATATGCACGCGCGGCTATAAACAACGAGAGAGGAGATCGCAGTTTTTCCGGACGATCGGCCTGTATACAGCCGAAAATCCGCAACGAAGAGCCGCCGCCGCCGCCGCTGCTGAAATTCATCCTGCGCGACACACGATCGTCGTCGACTAATCACGTACGTATACCGTAACACGCATACATGTACATATGAACATTATTACGGCACACTCATTTGCGTGTGTTGTGTGTACGTGTGTGTGAGTTAGAGAAGTCCGAATGACTATTACGAGAGCTCTGCTAGCGATGCAGCAGCAGCAGCAGCAGCAGCGCATTCTTTTGATTTGTGTACATATATACCGAGTGTGTTCCGTGTATAATACAACGACGCGCGTCTATCCGGCTGTAAGCTCTCGCGATCGCGCGAGCCCGAGTTTAACGCGCAAGCGATACGTATATATACGATTGCATGGCTACGAGTACTTGACTCGATTTTTGGTTTTATTGTTTTTCGTCTTTTTTCCTGAAGCGATACCATCGGATCAGGAAGATAATTATGACATTTCTGGACATGGCGAATTAAAAATTTTCTTGTTAAACACGAGCTTCGCGACACGACCACGACGACGACGACGGCGGTGATTTTTATAATGAGCTGAATAGATCTGAAGTATTTTTTACGGAAATGCGATTTTCGGAATGATTTATTTTTCTTGAAATAATGAGCGTATTTTCCGTTGATTTATAATTGTGATACGTTACAATGACGTACGAGTGCGCTTATCCGTGAAAAAAGTAATATTTTTAGGATAAAAGAAAAACTAGCCCGAGGCATTTGAACAATTGTCAAAGAATGCTCGTAATCTATTTTAAGAATCAAACATTCAGTAGCTCTAGTTTATTTTTTTCCTTTCAAGGCGCCTGATTCATCGAATTTTAATTTTATTCCCTGCAATGGGCATTCGAATGAAAATTATCGTGACCTTTTTCAAAATCTCTCTCTCTCTCTCTCCATCTCGATTTTTTACGAGTCGCGCGCGCGTCTAGACGAGCTTTTGGTAATTTTCGTATCGGCGACTATGTGCAGTCGGTGCGCGTCTAGCGTCGTCTAGCAGGAAAAATTTTGCCGATTCACCACTACAGAAAGTCTATATTATAACACACGAATGTGCAGCCAACTCCGCGGCGCGCCGGCCAAACTCCAGAGCGATAATCGACTCTTACAAACCTCCTATTATCCTCGCCTATCGGGTGCCTATGACTCAATGGATTTGCCGGTTACGGAATTCTTATTTTTTTTTTTTTTTTTACGACGACGTTTATGATTTCGTTCTTCGAAAATTATGATCAATCGCGTGAAAAATTAAAAATTTTATTAAAAATTCCAGCTAATATTTTTAATTGGTATGTTTTTGCAAGCGTAGACATAGATATTCGATCGTTAATGAACCATTTCATCGATGTCCCGTTGGTTTTCTGAATCGAAAGATCGATTGGAATGAAACGTTTTTTACTCGGAGTGAAGATGAAAATTTTTCTTTCGAAATAATCAGCGCAAAATTCAACCTGTAATCTGAAATTTTATTTTTCGGAAAGGAGATTAGCGAGATACGAGTGAGTCGGTGAATAGTGCATACCGATTGCATAATTCAGAAATTAACATTCTTCTACGGTATGCAGCGGAACAATGGCTACATACATTGAGAGTTCGGGCGATCGTCGAAACGAATTCGTATCATTTGAACATTATTATAAAGCGATAAAAAATTAACAAAATATATAATTGTTAACGAACGAGATCTCGTGATCTGTCGGAACGAGTTTCACGTGCATCGACGATCTCCGAAAGCTGTGTGCGCGAATCAACGTCATCTTCGATCGATGCGCGAGGATATTTTACGAGACTTCTTCTTATTTTCACGCGTGTGCACACCTCTTCATGCGAAGCCACGTGCGTAAACGCGTACTTGCCGCGTTGCACGTGATCTCTCGAGCGGTACGCCACAAACGTTCGATGTATCCTCGTCTGTCGTCATCGCGTCGCTTATTACTGTAATCGCGGTACACATGTATAAGCTAAATTATTAATTATCATGGACTTCGAACCGAGATGATTTTTCGTAACCCATTGAATAAATCGTGCAGTGGTTTTGGAATTGCGAAGTTTGAAGTTCAATAACGCTGTTCCGTGAAACGTTACGCACGAGATCGATGAGTAATTGAATCGAAGTATATGAAACGGCGACACATCGAATGGAGAAATTGTACCTAATTCTGTGATTGCGCAGAGTGACGTTCGAATTTTGAAAACTCTTATAGACACACCGATACGATGATTCGGATGACAAAACGTTCAACTATATGGGTACACACACACGAGTTGTACGAGAACGTATGATTTTGTTAATTTTTTTTAAACAGATTTGCGTAACTTAATGTCAACGCGCGCAGCCGCCAGACGGTCATTTCGCGAGCCCGTTGCTTTAATACATCATTGCACGAACTTTATGAAACTTTGACGTATTTTACTAATCAAACGAATCGTAACGTATGCAGGTCTCGTGTCCGAATTTTGTCGATGTCATACCACAGCAGACGTTATACAATTTTCATTATCAATTCGAACCATCGAATTTCGAACGAGCGAACGGACGTATACGTGTTTTTAAGTACGTGCGCGACCTACACCAGTCAATAATCACTACTGTGTGTCACTCAAAGACGATTTTTTGTTGCGAATACAGTGTACGAACTCGTAGCAAGAGCACAGCAGCCTTCGGACGAATTCGTATTAAGGATAAATCGTGTCTTTATAATGTCGCGCGCGAGCGTACTACATTGCATTCGCCGTGAACTTGCAATTGAACTTCGATTGTCTCGAGCTTCCATTTGTCCTTTATTCTTCTAGCGAAGGTGATTCGACCGCTTCTTATATGGAATTTTTTAACTGAGATCGAATTAATTCGGAGCGTACCGAGAGGAAAATTAATTTGTCAATAGAATCATATGCGAATGTCCTGCAGTTCTTGGCGTATTTTCCACGTGCTCGTTCCAATTTATAATAATGAAATCTCAGAATTCCTTTTTCGTAATGATCACGCACGCGAGTAACGATTGGATTCTTAAACGCGAAACTCACGTCAATCACTAGCAATTTCCTATCAAATTGTTAATGTGGTAATTAGACTACTAGCTATAGTACAAATTGTTTCATTTCCATTTGCTCAACATATATTTTTTCATTGAGAAATGTATTGTTTTAATTTATGTCGGCGTTTTGATTGATATTAGTTAATCGGATATACAAATCGGAAGTTGATATGTTTACATACACTCGGTGAACACAAGAAGTCAATGCGAGATATACATGCCTCAGCAAAAGAAGCGCACGAGGAAATGAAAGTAGACCGAGTCTACAATGAAAGATCACGTTTCAGAATAAAACTAAGATCGTTTGCGAGTGTACTATGCACTTAAATATTTTACAGCGAGCTACAATTGCGCAGTTATCAAAAGTGTATCGATCGAAAGCTCTCAATAAATTTTAATAATACGAGAATATTTCTCAAGTTCGCAATACCAAAACGAATATTTGAAAAATGAGCTCTCGGTACTCGAAACGTGTTTTTTTTAATTGCTGTTGCAAAAATAACTCACCCGAATTTAGCTTTCAAAGAGCCCCTTGCAGTCGAAACGTTAATGTGGGGGCTGAATATTATGCAAGGTAGTGATTACCGTATAGGAATTTTTTTAGAGGCGCAGTTTTAAACGCGCACGTGGCAGCAGCAGCAGCGATCCATGGGTATATCCTGCGCTGGTTTAATAATATACAATGCGTGTCCTGCCGACCTTGACCACTTTCTGCGCGTGTGTGCACGCTGTAGGCTTATTTTTGGAGGCGCATCTGTCCTCTTCGTGCTCGAGTTTTTCGTAGTTCCCTTTTTTTCTTGTTTTTTAATGTTTGTATACGTAGCATCTTCGTTGCATATACAGGCGCGGCATACTTTAAAAATGCGGCAGCTACCGCATTACCGGAATAAACTGGTTTTTCATAAGATGCAAATGCGAATCCTTGTGGGAATGCTTCGTGCGGGCCAAATTTTGATACTTCTGTAAAAGTACAACATTTATTATATAATTATGCTGATTGGTTTGTAAATTATTAAAATTTAATTTCAGGACCATACGCGATTGGAGATAATGTCTACTTTGGTAATCATCGATTATAGAATTGATTGCGAATAGATTGAGCTGCATTCGTTCAACTTCCTCTGAACTAGGTACCTAAAATGATAAATTTTTTATTACTCAAATTGTCAAGGAAAATATCAATAATATTTCAAACATTTTCAAAGATCAATGGGGAAAATTTGACACTAATTTCTACAAAATATCGTTGCATCATCACAACAAAGCAAAAATGTCAAAGTACGACATAAAAGAAAGCTACGACGTCGAAAGCGGCAAAGACGTGAGATTGACCAGCTATAACAAATCGCCGATGGACGATTACGGCAAAAATTTTGTCAACAAAAACGAGAGGAATGTCGCTGAAAAACCAGACGTCGTTCAGCCCAACGGAACCGGTGAGTAAAAAATTATTTAATAAGAGGAATAGTAGCGTGAAAATCGCTTGAAATTCAACATTGTTTCATGTAATTGTTTCGCGCGAGACCTGCAATCCCGAGTCATTCGATTAATATAGATAATTTTACGACGCACGATGCCAATTAAAATTCATGACAGTATTAACGGCGTATAAATGTTGGTAATTTTCACCGCATAAATACCGCAGCGGGAGTATAAAACTCAGTCACCGTGTTATAGTCTCTGTGTGCATGAATAACGATACCGTGTCTGCGCGCGCGTATTATATGTGCCGCGAACACTCCTATTAATTATTTCGATGAAAAAAAAAAAAAAAAAAAAAAAAAAAAAAAAAAACAGAAAAAAAAGCTATAACACGAACGCACGAGAACAATCATTGATGCTTTAAACGTGTATTTACTCGAGAATTTTCTCATTCATCTGTTTCTTTATCTGTTTTTTCGCCATTCTTTGGTTTATCTATTTTAAATCGCTCGAAGCATAATGAGATGTAACAGTACGCAGAATCGTAATTATTACGTTAAATCGAAATAAAAGTTCATCAATCAGGTGAATAATTACGCGCGCGCGCGCGCTGAACTCGATACAGCGAGTTGTAAATACTCACTGCGTAGACTGTATTTGAATAACGTCAATATTTCGACGCGCAATTCAAAATAAGACGCAAATTATTCAATCGAGTCGGAAAAATTTGATAGTTCAGCTATTAACGAAAAAATGAACCGCTCGATCGAATAACATCATTATACCGGCACAGATGCGTTCGCGGCACGTGCGAGTAATAACGAGCCAAAAATTTCCAAATTAGAGTTGCATCGACGAATGGGAATTCGAAAGCGCACGAGCAGCAATTTTTTTTCCTCGGACTTGCAACGTGCTTTTTCATTGCTCACGGTCAATTATTGGAATATTTTCGACGTTTTAGCTCCACAAACGAGCATTGGATCGAGATCGGTTAATGATTCGATTCGTTGCATCATTCGAGAATGAAAATACAAACAATAATGAATAATGAGATTCTGTACGTTAAAAAAGATAATTTATGCGATTTTTCAAAACGACGTAATAACCTACATATATTTGCTCTTGTAAAAGATACATTTGCAATTTCGAATCGTTTACAATGTTATCAGTCCGTTTCAATCGAATAATTGCAATAGACGACAATCGGCTTCGAGGCATTATTTATTCAAAGTGTGAATTTGAACGCATATAAAATTTACTCGGATACATGACTGAAGGGTCACACGTACATTGTGGAAACGAGGCCAATGTTAAAGACATTTTGCGAAAAAAAAACATTTAAACTTCTTTCTCCTGTGGTAGTGAGACTGTAACAATGTGGATTCTCGAATCAAGTGCAAATCTTCAATGGACAGCCTGTGGCTGAACAATCGAAATTTTATGAAACAACCAATTGAGTTTTTTGATCTCATGAGAATTTTTTATCCCACGATTGTTCGATTTTTTTGGGCTCGAACTTATCAATCAAATACAATTGTTTATGCAGGAAAATATAAGCATGTTACTACCACGAGCGAATTCCATGCTTATTATTTTCCGAAATATTTCTGTCAATCAATTTGAATTTGCGTGTATTCCTTACTTTCTGACTTGATCCGAACAAGAAAATACTACACCAGAAAGATTATTCTATAGTTATTGAAAAATCCTCTTCCAGATATACCTGCGATCGAAAAATGTTGTTTAAAATGTTATTTTCTCATCTATTGAGTATAGATATTCATAAATGATTGTGAGGTAGACTTTAATCTAGCATGCGTTACTTACAGCAATAAAACAGCAAAATATAACGTCAAATGTTTTTTTTTCGACATGTTATAGCGTTGACGAATAATATCTTCAGTAACAGCATCGAAATCGGTGATTACGAGCGCAGCGACGATAGCGCGTTGGGAAATTCGTCGTGTTGCAGCTGGCTCGACCAAAAAATTCAAACGACCTTCAGGCGGAAAATGCTGTATAAGAGAATTCCCATAATCCAATGGTTGCCGCATTATCGCAAGGAATACATTGTTAGTGATATGGTGGCTGGATTTACTGTTGGACTTACTGTCATTCCGCAAGCCATAGCCTATGCCAATGTTGCTGGGTTGCCTCTTCAAGTACGTAATGCTCTGCAATATACACAAATTTATTAATATTTATTAATTCATTTAAATAACACAAGATTTTAACACAAGATCATAATTTGATTGAAAATAGATTTCTCCTAATTATTTATACATTTTTACAGTATGGTTTGTACTCCTCATTCATGGCATGCTTCGTCTACACAATTTTTGGTTCATGCAAAGATGTACCTGTTGGTCCGACTGCAATAGCTGCAATTATGACTCATGAAACATTGGAAAAGTCACACTTGGGTCCAGACTTTGCAGTATTACTGACTTTCATATCCGGCTGCGTTTGCATGCTTATGGGCACCCTGCAACTAGGTAAGTTTTAAAATTATTAGAATCATCAATTTTTTATATATTTTAAGTGTTTTTATTTAAATGATTATTTTATATGCAAATAGAATAACTGGATTCTGAAAATTTTTATATTGCCTTTTACCATTCTTTATTTTGTTAATGGTTGAAAATAGAAATCAATGACAGTGATACATTTGCATTTAATTAAAATAAAATTTAACGATTAAGCAAGTTAAAAATTAAAATACTGTAGAAGTCAAATGCAAAGCCCTCGAAATCAATATTTTAGTTTAATGATATCTTCTAGGATATAATTGTTATCAGTTGAGGATTTTTTAATTATGTTTCTTCATTGTGACAATTATAGCAATATGTAAATAGTTTAATTTTATAAAATTTATTTTATATATTTAATTTTAAGTTATTTACAAAAACTAAATTAATCGAAAATTATGCACAAGTTATTGACAAATGATCAGAATTTTTTTCACTAATCAAAAACATCTAAATTTCTTTGATGATAAAATTTGGAAAATAAGGTGGCAAACTGATTATCGATTAAAATTATCAAAATTAATTGAATAAAATAACCAATGATGAATTGATTTGATTATCAAAGTAGATTATTAGCAGTATTATGAGTTTGAAAGAGGTATGCACTGGCATAACAAATAAACATATCGTTTGCATGTAATTATTCAAAAAGATACCAAAAATTTACGCCATCTTTTCCGTGCTTCATCCGTGCGTCGCAATGATATTTTTTTTCCTTTTTATGCAACAGAACGACGCTCGACACCTTTCGTTCATATTGCACTTGAACTACTGAATAATTCTCAAATTTCTTACAATTACTATCGACCCACATCTCTTCGACGCGCAAAAACTTGAATCTCTACCGCACCGCACACGCTCGTTTCCTTATATGGGCCAACTTCAAACGTTCGATCTGGCGGTTACTGCGTAAAACAAAATCGAGCGCCTAGAACGGCCGAGGCGATTGAAAATTTGCGCGTAGGTCCTTCGTAGATTCGTGCAGCATGCCATAAATGCGTAGATCTTCGAACCGAACTGGTCGCCATTTCTACAGATCGAGTTGATTCGTGAAGTTGTGTACTGTTCCTCGTTGTGAGATTATTTGCTAAACGTATAATAATTGCGAGATTGTGTTAGTAGCAATTTGTTGAAAACATTCGTCTCATCTACCAAAATAGTTGAAGAGATAAAAAGGAAGAAAAAAACACGTTCATTCCTGTCAACTTACATTTTTTTCAACGTCTAGATATTTTCGTGAAAAAAGGTGAGAAACTTTATCATAGTATAGCTTTACGTTGAAATATTTTACAACTTGAACTGTAGCGTATAGTAATAACATTTCGATGATAACAATTAACGTGCCAATTTTTATTGTTGTTCAATGTAGATAATAATGGGGAATCATCACGGCCGATACACATCAGATTCAAGTTTCGAGGAACCGTACGATCCGTTTCGCGATAGCGAAGACAATAGCGAAGAGGACCGCGACAGGCCTCCTCCTGAACCGAAAATAGAGAGTTATAATCAACCTTCATTAACGTACCAAAAAGGCGAAGCAGACGGGCGTGATGTCGAAATTCATAGGGCCAGCTACACACAAACCAATTATGTATTGAAAAGTAGGTCCCATTGGACAATATCACAGTTTGGCTATTCAGATGTAGTTAAAAAAGAAAATGGTAGTATACGCTCTGATGTTATTTCAATTGGTGGAGAAAATCAGTTCCAATATTTCTTTGTTATGGATAAAATAGAACTCAAAGATGATATACATTATGGCCTTTACATTAATGTGTTGAGCAACATTCGTTCAGAAGCCACTTACAAAATTAGAAGTTTTATAAGAAATCATAAAGCTCATAAGGTAGGATTAACGTCTTCGAGACATACCAAATTTCCTCGTAAAAATGGCTACAAATTCCTGGGCTCTATGGACCACTCAACTCTATACGAAGAGGATTCAGATTATTCCGAGGGGGGCTACTTTTCACTGTCACTTGTTCCAGAAGGAGACATGACACTACTTTTTAAAATAGAAGTGTCTTTTAACAGTAGAATTACTAATGAATTGCGCAGTTTGGTTGAAAAAAATAAAAATGAAAACGTTACATTAGTAGTAGGAAAAAAAGAATTTAAAGCTAATGAGAAAATTATCCAAGAAAGATGTCCTAAACTAGCTGAAATGATAACCAAGAAAAAGAAAGGCAAATCTCCAATCACTGGTGTCGATCCAGAAATAATGGAACAGATTATGCAGTACATTTATACTAATCGAGTTACAAAACTATTCACTCATGGACGAGAACTTGAAAAAGCAGCAAAAAAGTTTGGTCTCAAAGATCTTCAGCAAATGTGCAAGAAAGCTAATGCTTGTTCTGCTGTCTCTTATAAAGAGGACTAATTAAATCTCTTCTCTTTACTTTTCCTTATCATAATTTTACTACAGAGACTTTGTGTATTTCAGCACTTTAAAGCATTTTTTTTTGTATTATTGATGTTTAATAATATTGTGTTATTAGTTAAAACTTTGTCAAAGTTTATGTAACAAAACTTATTAATATGCATGTTGGCGTATTAATTGTATGTTGTAGCTTAACAATGATGTTATTAAAAGCTATTTTTGTGTGAAAAAAAGTTGTTTGATTACTTAGTATAGAAGTTACCATTTTTTCTATGAGCGACATGTGCGCAAAAATTTTAAATACCCCCGCGCGACCGAGAAGACGGCGCTGCCAACGTTCATACTTTTAAAGCGGCAACTCTTGTAATAAAGGATTCGCGGCAACAGCCGGCACTCGTATTAGAGACAGACGCGTTTTTGTTTCATAATTTTGTAGTGCATTGCCGTGATTTGAATTCATTAGACGCATGTTTAAATTTACTTTCGCTCATTTATCCCTCAATTTTCAAAAATTTGCTAGAAAAAGACCATTGGAAAGTTTTGAGATAAAGAGAATTTTCTAAAAGACCCAGGTATGTAATTGTTTGCCACTAATTATGCGTACAAGATAATACATGCAATTACCCGAAATTATGGGAAGGGTTTCTCAATAGAGATCACAAAACATGAATTTTAACATTTTATTCATTACTTGAAAATTAACCTGTAATGATATCCTTACAGCAAATAAAAGAATTAAATCATGTCTGATTCCTCCTCGTCAATGGATGAAGAATATAGTTCAGCTGGCAGCAGTTTTAGTTGTGATAGCGATGGTGCACCCAATTGGCCCTCACCTAAATCACATATTCAAAGGATTGATGATGGTGTGAAGCTTTCATGCGATGAAGACAAAGACAAAGATACAAGTGACAGTGAAGACTCATCCATCTCATCTAGCAATTCTAGTAGATCTGCATCCCCAAAAAGAAAATCCATTTCCTTCTCAAGATTTGAAAATCTAGAGGAGGAGGATGATGATGATGAACCAAGTTACCTTGAGTTACCTCATGATCAACAAATAATTTTAAAGACACAATATAGTACTTGGAAAATTCGGAACTTTCCTTATGGTGATGTAAACAGAAAAGGATACATAAATTCAAAAATTTATTCCATTGGTATTTTAAATAGTTTCCAATACTTTTTTCGATGTGAGAGATTTGAACAAAAAGATGAAGCTTACTATGGTTTTTATGTAAGGTCCTTAACATATGATGCATCATTAGCTGAAATAGAGTTTAGAGGATACTACATTGATCTTAAGGGTTATACATACAATTTGTGGCCTTCAAAAACATTTCCTCAAAAGCCAGGGTTTCGATTTTTAGGATACTTGTCTAAACAAGTTCTTAAAGAACGGAATTATTACATGCTACCAGATGGTGATCTTACTTTAAGCTTCCGAATTCATGTACAATTTAAAAAAATAAAATTGCCTGTCATCGATGATTTAACTGCACTTTGGCAAGAAAAGAAATTTACAGATTTTACACTTATTGTCAAAGATCAAAAATTTCCAGTTCATAAAACAATACTAGTTGCTAGAAGTCCTTACTTTGCGAAGCTATTTCAAGAAAATAGTGACTTGAAAAAAATGGAATTGAACGAATTTGAACCAGACATGATGAATGCTTTATTATTGTTTATATATTCTGGTAGATTAACAAAGTTGATAAAGTATTTGAAGCAGTATAAACTTGCTGCTGAAAAATTTGAATTATCTCATCTAAATAATGTTTGTGATATCGCTTTAAAGTCTTTTAAATGAAATTATTTTTAAAACGTTATAATAAATCTTATTGTCATTTTTTCAATTTGATAGTGCGCTTCTGATGTAACTATTTAGATGTAGGACTTGAGTTTAAAAATATGCTAAGAACTATTTAATACTGTTAACTTGTAGTTGTAAGTTTGTATTTGTAAAAAGAAAATAAAATTAGTTTCAATAAAAAAATGTGTTGAATATCATTACCCAAAATCTTTTCATAACTTCTAATTGATATAGTGAAATTAATTTTATTTTTTTGACAAAATAATACACATCCACGACTCTCCAGGTTTCCTCATCGACTTCATCTCGGGTCCTGTGTCGGTTGGCTTCACCTCGGCCGCGGCGATCATCATAGCCACGAGCCAGGTGAAGGACATCCTCGGCATATCCATCAAGGGTGGCAAATTCACGCAGGTCTGGCATCAGATATTCGAGCAGATCGGCCAGACCCGCCTCTGGGATGTTGTCCTCGGGCTCACCTGCATGTTCATTCTTCTGATCATGCGAGTAAGCATACATCCCATTAAAAAATAAAAGAGTTCTCGAATAAAAAGTGACGACGACATTGATTTCGCGCAGAAAGTCAAGGACATCCCGGTGGTGCCCAAGGACGAGAAGAAGCCCGCCGCCTGGCGCATCACCCTGGAGAAATTCTTGTGGCTGATGTCGACGGCGCGCAACATCCTCGTGCTGGTGTCGTGCGCCCTGGGGTGCTGGCTGCTCGAGCGTCACCTGGGCAGCTCGCCGGTCGTCCTGACGGGCCACGTCAAGCAGGGCCTGCCCGGCCTCGGTCTGCCGCCCTTCCAGGGCAAGGTGAACAACGAGACCTATCACTTCCTCGACATGGTCCAGCTGATGGGCTCGGGTTGCATCGTCGTGCCGCTGCTCAGCATCCTCGAGACGATCGCCATCGCCAAGGCATTCTGTGAGTTCGATCGCAAATCAAAAAAATTTTTTTGCTTGTCGAGAAATTAAAGTTTCGACGTCGCAGCCGAGGGCAAGCCGATCGACGCCACCCAGGAGATGCTCGCCGTGGGCGCCTGCAACATCGTCTCGTCGTTCTTCTCCTCGATACCGGTGAGCGGCGGACTGAGCCGCGGCGCCGTCAATCACTCGTCGGGCGTGCGCACGACCCTCGGCGGCGTCTACACCGGCCTCCTGGTCCTCGTCTCGCTGCAGTTTCTCACGCCCTACCTGTACTACATACCCAAGGCGTCGCTGGCCGCGGTCATCATCGCCGCCGTCGTCTTCATGGTCGAGGTCCAAGTCGTCAAGCCCATGTGGCGCACCAAGAGTGAGTTCATGTTATTGTACATCTTCGTTACCGATCGTTACCGATGATGACTCGAGCTTATTACGTACGCGCGATATTCGATACTATTTTGTACGTCGAGGACAAAGTGGCGATAATTTAAAACTTATCTACAGTTTTCTGTAATTAATTGTACGCCGTCATTGCAGAAATCGACTTGATCCCGGCCGTCGTCACCTTCCTGTGCTGCCTGCTCTTGCAGCTGGAGATCGGCATCGTCGTCGGAATCGGCATAAATCTGCTCTTCTTGCTCTACGCCTCGGCGAGACCGTCCATACGAGTCGGCAAGGATATCGTGAGTATTTCCGAAAATCACAAATTTAGTAATAACAAATTAATGAATTGGTCATTTTGCAGAACGTCGACGGCCTGGAGTATCTGGTAATCACGCCCGATCGCAGCCTCGTGTTCCCGAGCGTCGAGTACGTAAGATCGATGATCAGCAAGCAAGGCTCGAAGCAGGGTACGGACGTGCCCGTGGTTATCGATTCGACTCACATACAAGCTGCGGACTTTACGGCGGCTAAGGTACACATACACGATACATAATGATATTACCGTCGTTGCGATGAGTCACGCTTTCTAAAAAAAAAAAAAAAGCCAATCATATGCAATCTCGTACGTGCTGTAGCGTGCTCGCTTCCGTGTACTTTTCCGATTGATCATTATTGTCTGCTTACAGGGTATTAAGAGTCTCATTGAAGACTTCGAACGCAGAGGCCAGCCGCTGCTCTTTTACAATTTGAAGCCGAGCATCGTTACGATTTTCCAAGGCGTCAAGCCCGTCGAATTGCGCGTCTGTTACAGCGAGGAAGAACTGAATAATTATTTAATGGGTAAAGTAACGAGAATCGTCGTCTTGTACAAATATATTTTATTCTATATATCAATCTATAAACGTAATTGTATTTTTTTTCTTTTGATTTTCAGATTTTGCCAACAACACGAACAATACGGTAACTAGGCACTGAGCGACGACCGATCTACATTCGAATCGTCATTTTAAAAAAATTGGCGTTAACGCGGTTAGAACATTCTAACGCTAAAATTTATATAAATATAAATTCATCTGTAAATATGTACGTATGTAACAATTGATTGCGAACTTTTTGTAAGCTAACGTAAGTGTTTTGCCTTGTCAAAAAGTTTATCCTTATACGCGCACTCGATCCAAGTGCGATCGTTGTATCGCTGATTATTTGCATGGCAAATAATGATTCCTCACGTTGAGCTCATAACGGTCGTGCGCCGCTCGACGGTCTTGCTATGTAAAAACTCGGTGTTCCTGAATATCTGTAAAGAAGAATAGTTAAAAATGTTAATCTCCTATGTAATTTTTAAACGTGATTCTAATGCAAACGGTATTTGAGTCGCAGTTACCAATTTATTTTTGTTATGATTATTTAAAACATATCTTTCTCGTGTTTGTAAATATGATACTTGTACTGTACTTAAGTCATAAATTTATATCATAAAATTAGATTGTAAAGGACTATTAGTATTACGTAAAGTTAATTACCAATTATTCAAAAGCTGAATAATATGTATTACGAATTTCAAATTAATCATAATTTTAATACCGTAAATATGAAACATAAGCATATAGTACCGATGTATTTTTCAATTTGTGACAAAGCAATAATAATCATCGTTTCGAATAAAAAAAAGTATCGATCAAATGTCGACACGTACTTCTCCTTGATGACTTTGATCACCGCGTCCACTGCGTCCTTTCTCAGCAGCGTGACGGTGCAGCCGCCGAAACCGGCCCCGGTCAGCCGACTGCCCAGCACTCCGTCGACGCTACGGGCCAGACCGACCAGCGTGTCCAGCTCGCGGGAGGAGACCTCGTAGTCGTCGCGCAGCGAGTCGTGGCTCTCGTTCATCAGCCGGCCGAAGCGCGCGAAGTCGTTGGCCTCGAGGCTCGCCGCCGCGTCCAGGGTGCGCTGGCACTCGGTTATCACGTGCCTGGCACGCTTGATCGTCACCTCGTCGGCTTGCTTGGCTCTGAGCACTGCACGAATAATAATAATAATAAAACGTAATGAATGATTTCCTCCGATTCTCAAGACGACAGCTTTGTGTTACGAGTCTCACCCTCGAGATCGGCGAGCTGGGCCTCCCTCAGGCTCTTCTTGCCGAGTAGCTTGGCCGCCGCGTGGCAGCAGTCGCGCCTCTCGCGAAACGCGCTCGAGCTCAGCTTGTGCGGCGCATTGGAGTTCGTGATCAAGAAGACGCTGTCGCCGAGCTGCTGCATGGGTATGTGCTTGGTGCTCAGGTCGCGACAGTCGAGCAGCAGGGCGTGACCCTCGCGGCCCATCACCGAGACGAACTGGTCCATGATGCCGCAGGGAACGTTGGCGTACTCGTGCTCGGCCTTCTGGCACTGAAGCGCCTTGTCCTGGGGTTTTTCCAGGGTGTGGCCGGACACGCGCTCCAGGAAGGTCATGGTGGCGACCTCGAGGGCGGCCGAACTGCTGAGACCGGCCCCCACGGGTACGGAAGAGACTATCACGGCGTTGAATCCATTCTTCAAGGGATCTGAAGGAAAAGTTGTCGTTTTAAAATTATATTTTCAAGTGCGGGGTTTAAAGCAGTTAAACTTACGTGGAAAATTGGCGATACAGCCCTTGACGTAATTAGCCCACTTGGGCTCGCCGGGCTTCAGACTGGCCAGATCGAACTCGGCGATGCTCTGCGCGCTCACCGCCTGGCTCAGCGAGACGATCTTGCAGGACGTCGCTCCGTCGCTCCGTGGACTGCCGACGATGACCGTTACCATAGGCAGTGCCTGTAATAATTATAGATAAGGTACACATAAAAAAATGAACGAAAGCGGTATGTCGTTGACTCGATCGATTCGAATTACGCGCGTGCCGTAACGCGACGATGCTAACTCGTTGATTCGATTCTCGCGCCGTTCGTAACGAGACGAATGTTATTTTTAATATCAAAACGTATGTTAATTTCGATGTATCGTATGTCGAGATATAGTTTTATAACGCTTGCATAATTGAGGCACTATGTGCGTTATCCGCGTGTATCGTACACTAGTCATTCAAAAAACAACGCCAGTTATCTAACAGCGAGAAAACATCGACGACGACGACGACGATGACCTTGTCTTCCTCCGTTGTAAAGGTCATATATCGACGCGCTCGCGCGCGGCGAATTAAATGTCTTATATTGCGCGCTTATCAACATCATCATCATCATCGTTTTACGATCGAGTTTAAATCCTCGCGCGATGATATTTATAAATTTATTGGCCTGTCACGCGAGTGCATTACCGAGACGCGCAGAGTTTTTCCTCTTATCATTAATTATTATTATTATTAAAGAGGTGAAAAAAGTGCGAGATTCGGAGTCGTTTTTTACCATGGGCAGCACGAAGCCCTCGTTGTAATCAGTGTGCTCCCCGATGAGATTGACTCGACCCGGTGCGCACACGCATACGGCAGCATCGCCACCGAATTCCTTAGCGAACGTCTCCAATGCCTGCCGTTTGATCTCGCCGACTTCTGGATACACCGTGGCCATCTTATTTACTTTAATTACAAAAAAACTTTCTTTAACTTCGCACGAAATAACTCAGTCTCTGCGCGATAAATCCACTTAAACAACAATCAACAGGAAATGCAAAAACGTGTTCTCTTTTTTATCGAATTCACTGCCAACGTTTGGTTATAATTGGTATTATAATATATGTATTTATTATCGTGCCGTTGAAGCACGTCCGCTCGTCACGTCGGTTGTACACAAAATTTCAAACTCGTACCTATTATCTCACACCGGTTACAACACTATACGAGTATACGCGCTTTTTATTTATCTCTCGCACACACGGGCGTGCGTGCGATATCTCTCAGTACTTGTCACGCTCCAATAGTGCACTGACACTGGCGCAGCACATTTCTCTGTTATTATATAGACGCCGCTCGCTCCTAACTGACACACATGCACTGCGAACACAACACAGCCAGCAGCAGACATTGATTGCTGCCTCTATATTATATGAATGCTGTATGCGCGGGACAGCCGTCGCGCTTCTTCTCTCGTCTGCTGCAGTCTGCATACTCGTGCGACTCTGAGAGCAGTGCGACGAACACCCTAAACGTCGCAGTTGTCGTTGTCGTTGTTGTTGTTTTAGGCCTCGTCGCGGTGTAAACACAGCGAAGAGAAAGTTACACTCGACTCGATACGACGAATTCGGAGCGTAAAGAAACAATCGTCGACATTTGTAAATAGCTCCTGAAATGTGCCATCATGTCCGTCTCCGATCCTTTGATCAAGGAGCTGAAAGGTACGAGTGAAATGAAGCTTGCGCGCGACTCATAATTGAGGTTATAAACTGCATGCCTATATGTTTTGACACTTACTGTCAATGTCGTCGCGCTTGATTTTTAAATCGAATTATCGAAAGCTCGCCTTCCGCGATGCAACGACACACTCGAGGTTGTGTCAAATATTGCGCAATGACTGGACAATCGTATTGAAAACTTGTATATTTTCCGAAACATCGTTTTATTGATTATTTCGTATGGCAGATGTCAGTTTCCCGCGAATAATTTAAACGCGACCCGACTCTGTATATCCTCGTAATTGTGTTGCAGGCTACGCTCGCGTGTTGACGGAGCGATTTTCTGATATCACCGACGACACCCCCGAAGTTCCCGAGCTCTGCAGGTGCCTGGAGAAATGCTTCCAGCGGGGAGTCTCGACGCGCACGACGCCCTCGGGCGTTCAGGATTTTTCCGAGGTCTGGCAGTGGATGGAGGATATCACAAGAAGAAACGACGAGTGAGCTCTAATAATTTCTTTTTAATTGTGTACTCGCGTTTTATGCGTGTTGTAACGTTTTTAAATATATTACTTTTTGTAGCTTTTTACTATCCTACTCGACGATCGTCGAAAACGTACTGGAGAATCAAAAGGTGCAAGAGACCACTGGTAGAATAAGGCTTTTAATACGTACTTGTTTGAATCGTAAATGTCTTGATGTTCCAGTTGGTTATTTGGTGAGAGTCTTCATATGATTAATTATTTAAATTTCAAAAATTTTAAAACTCTTGATTTTATTTCAGATAAGAACTCCATATTTAGCTTCAGATTATTATAGTATTAATAGTATATTGGGCCATGAAATCTTGGGTGAAATTTTTTATTCTGTTTTATTGCAAATCAGTAGATTAAATTTTAAGCTTGACTTGAGAAACGCCAGTTTTTTGGATTATTCATGGGACTTGCCAATATGCATCAATGTCGATTTTGTGCCTTGTAAAACATTGGGCATATCAGTGTGGTAAGTTGCATTGAAGAAAAATATCAATAATGAAGCAGTTAATTTAACAGTGAATAAATTAATGTTTTTCAGCTTTGAAAAGAGTAAAGCATTAGTTGTAAGAGTTGAAAAAAATTCAGTTGCCAGTGAAGATGTGAGAGTTTTCATAAAAATTTTATTCAATCATTGAATGTAAAATTTCACTAATTCAATACTTTTCTTATAATTAGGGAACAATAGAGCTTGGAGATATACTGGATGAAATCAATGGAAAAGTCATATCAACGCATACAAAAATAAATCTTGGTAAAATACTGAAAAGAACGGCTTGCCTTCCAATATCAGCTTATATTGTCAAGGTTATTATTTTTAATCATCCGTTATTCAGTTTATCAAAATTAAATTGGAACTCACATTAACCAAGTTCTGTTATTCTTTAGTTTCGGAACAAGGAAAAAAATCAAATTTATTCTCCCATTGCTAGTATTATAAAAAACTGTCAGTTTGACTACATGAAGGATTTGCTCAGCGATTCAAAGCCAACTCACATAGATATTCAAACACCGGTTCCTGTTTCACCTGAAAAAGAAAACGATGTATCTTTAATCGATACCAAACCAGGTTACTTGGTTGATTATTGTGGTTCTGTCAAAGTTGGACATGAAGGTGACGTGAAACAGATCGAGAAAGCAATAAGAAGAGTCCTTCATACTGGAAATATTAATTTTGTTCCTGTGAGATTTGAGTGCCTTGAACTCGCAATCAAAATCTCACAAGATTGTGATGATAAAGTGAGTATAATGTTTGTTCTCATTTTTCTGAAATAGTTTTAATGAAAAAATTATTATATTCCAGGAAATTTTAAAACTTAGTTATATGGACATTTCATCTTGTGGTAGATCTTCGAACTTTCCAGACCATTTCGCGTTTATCGCAGGGTAAAACATTTTTTTTTCAACAATTTCCAACTCTTGATTGGCATCAATGATTGTATCACAGCGAAAACTTTTTACTTGCAGGGAAACAAATTGCAGCGTCGCGCTAGATTTCACCGCGCACGTATTTTTTCACAAAAACGACAGAGAAGTTCAGATAATTTTGGAGAGCCTAGGTCAAGGGTTTTATCGAACTCATTTCGCCGTGTAAAAAAGCGGCAAATTTGTACAAGTCATACAGTATTTTAAGCTTTCTAGCATTTTTGCACGTAATTAACCATTACCGTGTAACTTAATAATTTATTATAATTAATTGAGTAAAAAAAAAACTATTTTATCTAACAATAATTATTAAAAAAAAAGGAAGTCGAACGATACCAAAGATGCATGTTAAATTTTTCTCAAATACTTATTAAAGCAAACACAATCAATTTTATAAACTACTTTACATAAGAATTTAATAAAAAAAAGTGTATTACTGTTGCAATTGTGTACAAAGCGTACGGCTGTGTTTTCGATTTATTCCGATCTTTCGCGCCACTACCAGCTCATCATCATCATCATCATCATCATCATCAATCGAGCGATCGTCGACGAACGATCGTGTGCAACGATAAGTTTTTTTCCTATCTAGTTCGATGAATATCTCTCTCTACTGGCCCTTGTGTATTTTTTTAAAGGGTCGAGGTCGCTCGCTATATTTGCATCCCCGTGATTTTGGAGCGCAATTTTTATGTATACGGCCCCCTTCGCTATTTGCCGGAGCTCTTTACGTACGATATATACGTTGAAAGGGGCGCAGGCGATCAGTGCGCACATGTATGAGTGTGTATATAGGGTGGCCACCCTCTATCTTTCTCCCTCTCGCCCCGCATCGCGGTCATTCATCAATTATATACACATACAACATACAAATTCGTCGTAACCTCGAACGGACGAAACGCGAAAATTTTTCATTTCTAAAAATCGTGCATAATATTCTGCCCAAAAAACAACAACAACACAGTGTTCCGTGAACTACGTCCGTGCTGCATATACAAAACAGAACCGAAGCTGAAATATATATATACGATATAAAAGGGGTTCGGTCACATAAGAGAGGCGCGCGCGCGCCACGCGGTCGTCGTCTCGTCATTGAGAATTCGTGGCCTGCTGCAAGTGCACGCTGCACTCCGAGCACAGTGCACAGTGCACTCAGATCGCGCGGCTCTGTGTGTGCATGTGTTTGTGTGCGAAATTCTCGAAGCTCGGCGCAGGCACTAGAGAGAGAGTCGGAGCAGTCAGCACACAGCACGGCAGAGGGTTAACTAAATCACGTCGCGCGCGTCTCGCGAGTGCACACTTACGTACTGGCCAAGTCAATACATAGAGAAAATATGTGTCGTACGTAGCAAGTTTCCTCGTATACATACGTATGCCATTCGTTTATTACATTAATATTATTGTATTGTTATAAAACGTGAATCGCGTACGCGAGCGCTCGGTCGATGCACATAGAAAATATTGTACAAGTTCATAGATCGTAGTGTTCGAAGCCAGAAGAGGAAGTACAGAGTATATACGGAGCGAGCGATCATCGTCAACGTATAAGAAGTCTTCTGCTAGTATCCAGAAGAGGGCCGCGAATTCGTCGCAAATTTTATTATCATACAGTAGGACTACATCTTACGATATAATCGGCATTTATATACAGAAAACACACACGGGCACACACGCGAGAGATCAAATAATTCGCTGGGCGATCGCGTGCGTGGGGTTGATATCTCGCGCTCGTCGGTTTCAGTGTCTATATATCGCTCGCGCGAGTCAAGACTCGAGCAGCGCACATTCCGCGGAGAGCAGTCGAGAGAGAGTCGATCGTAGGTATATTTTTCGGGGAAAAAAAAGCCTTCTTCTGGCGATAGATATATACACGCGATTCAGCGTATATAACACAGTGCCACCAAAGTGCGCGGGTACACGCGAGGAAGGGAAGCAGCAGCAGCAGCAGAGTAAGAAAAACTCGTGGGTGAGAGTTTCGCGTGTCTTTCGTCGCCCTGGCTTAGTATGGCCGCAACAAGGACGAACCTCAGGAACTCAACGAGCTCGACGCAGGCTAGCAACAATCCGGCATCGAATCACAATCTACAGCAGCAGCAGCCACAGCAGCAGCCACAGTTCAATGTCAGCGACAATCAGTACTTTTACGAGGACCTCGTCTACAGGGTCGACAAGAAGGGCAATGTCGAGTTCGGCATCGTCATGGGCAACGACGACCAGGACATGTCCGAGGACAGCAGCAGCAACGAGGACAGCCCCAAGCGCAAAAAGGGCGAGATACGCGTCGTCTGGCATCCATCTGGCGTCGAGGAGCTCATCAATTCCAAAAAGGTAGGGTCTGCTGTCGTACGCGATCGACTCGGCACGCGCTCGTGCAGCCCTTTGATATTGGCATTATTATCAGCAGCTTTTTTACACAAGATAAAATGTAAAATCCCTTGAATACATATTTACGAGAAATTATCGTCGCCTAGAATTTCACATTTTTCAGATAACAAATTAGTAATGCTGATAGCACGATAAATGTAAATGACCTCTGAGATCTGTTTGTTTAGGTATTATTTGTATTCATCTTATGTTACATAGAGTTCAGTGTATTGTTTTGATACTTGCTTTTAATTTGTATCAGATTCATCAATCGTATAATTTATAGAATTTCTACACATTATGATTCACTTTTAAAAATGTTCTAATGAATTGTTTTCGTAGTTGATGTTTCAGGTGCATTTGGCTGATAGAACGTTAATGCCTGGTGACGTTGTAAGACGTATGATAAAAGGAAAAGATACTCAAAGAGGCTACTGCAGAGATATTGACTTGACCGCTAGCGTTCAAGTTATTGGTACAAAACAAGTACTAACAAATATTAAAAGTGAAGACTTGGTACCTTTAGAAGTAAGTATCGATTGAAGATATGCATTATTTGAGAGTTACCTAACTTATTATCAATTTTAGGAATTTGCTGCTGACATAGCAGTTTGTATGGATTCTTGGGTTGGAGGAATAAGAATGGTTCATTATAAACTCTGGTTGGTTACTCCAGATGGATCTCGTTGTATTGTTAATGAAATGAATGCTCAACGTTTGGACCAAGAGGAAAAACCAGATAGAGTAAATCCTATTTTGATATGGTTATAACTATTTTAAAAGAATAATGAATTATACATATGATCTTTTTCAATTACAGGATAATGATTTTCCTCGTACGTCTGAATTTTATCCAGGCCAACACTTATGGGGTCCTGTACAGTGCTTAGAAGATGCCCTATGGTTGCAGTGCACAAAAGAAATGAAGACTAGGCGCAAATCAAAAATGCAACGTGTCACAAAATTTGTCGTCGAGAAAGTTGAAACCGACTGGGTCGGAGTTCACTGGCAATGTCGAGCTTATTCAAAAGATGGTATCTGTTCAGACCAAGCACATCCTAAGTTTGTTGTGGAGGGTGAAGATCTTAAAAAACTGAAGTTGTTAAATATCTTCGAGCCCTCGACTTTACAAGTGGGTGATAGAAACTTTTATGTGATCAAAGGTGATGAGAATGTGATAACTCGTGAACAGTGGCGTAAACAACAAAGAGAAATATTTCAAGTTCCTAAGCAAAGTCCAAAAAAAACGCGCAACATCAATATGTCTAAGGAATCCGTAGAAGAAAAAATTAAACGCGAAAGGGACAAGTCCCTCGAAACTCAGAAAGATAATTCGAAAGACAGTTCAAAAGATAGTGCAAAAGATAGTGCAAATGCAAGTTCGGAAGTAAATAACGTTAGTGAAACATGCGAAAAAAAAGTGAGCAATGAAAATGTTTCGAGCAACCACTTGCAAGTCCCAGTCGTGCATCGTAATCCTGAAAGTTCGGATGATTGGGAATCTACCGATACCTGTTCACAAAGCGATTCAGCTTCAGTAAGTTTTACACATTGTTTTTCTTTATCTTATAATAATTCAATATTTTATACGATTTGATTTTTAATGCGTCGAATTTTTTTCTAGATATCGAGCGGATGTTCAAGCTTATCGTCAATGGGAAAAAAGAAAAAGGGCCCAACTTTAGTGACAAAAGTTTTAAAGAAGCGGAAATTGTACAGAGCCAAGAAAAAAATTCCACCTCCACCGTTGGTCGCGGGCGCGAAAATCGTTGTAGAAACGCTATCAACGACAACAAAAGCAACTGTTGTTTGGCAAGATGGTTCGGTTGAAACAGGTACTTTCAAAAATCAAAATTGACAGCGTCTTTATATGAAGTGCAAATAAAGTAACAATCTCATTTGTATTTCAGACATACCATCAACGCAGTTATACCCAATTCATCACTTAGATGATAAAGAGTTCTTCCCTGGTGATTTCGTTGTCGACCAAAAAGAAGAGTCCAGGATGTACGGCGTCGTTCAAAGTGTCGATCATCAAGGCAGGACAGCGAAAATTAAATGGTTTACAACCTACACTTCTAGTCAGAGCCCAACGTGAGTATCGATCGATCGTGTTTCTACACTTGTCAAAAATCAAAGTCTCCTAAAAAAATTACTCGAAACATTGCAGACCAACTTTTCTGGAGGAGCGCGAGGTCAGCGTGTACGATCTGAAGGATCATCCGGACTTCCAGTACAGACCCGGCACCGTGGTCATTCGCATCGCCAACTTCGAGGGCGAGGACTCGGGCTGCACCGCGGGCCAGGTGCTCGACAACTTTCCCGAGGGTCGCGTCAAGGTCTGGTGGGTCGACGGCCACGTGAGCATGTGCTGGCCCCAGGACCTCTACAAGATCGGCGAGTACGACAGCGACGAGGGCGAGCTCTGGGACGACGCGTCGAGCGAGGCCTCGTGGGAGACGGAGCTCGAGGACAGCTGCGTCGCCGACAGCAGCGTCGGCGACAACAACGGCGGCGGCGGCGGCAACAACAAGCTGAATCCCGACAACATAAAGCCGAAATTGGCGGCGCACATCGAGAAGGCGCGAATAGCCATGTCGAGGCTCGAGGAGATATTCACGCAGAATCCCGCCCTGCAGACTACCGAGGTCATGAGGAAGTTGCTCGAGGTTTACAAAGACTGCCGCTACATGGACAAATTGATGGGTACTTCGTTTTTCCACGAGAGCCACTTCCAAGGTTTGCTCGAGAGAGTCAGAGAGAGGGGACGAGCTAACGTTGCCCAAAGAATGGCTGAACAGGTTTGTGTTGTTTTTTTTCACAACATTTAAATTTATCGAGCTCTTTTGGAGTCTACTTATTTTTGTGTTGCAATTTTAGGTGAACAGATTGTTTACTCAATCCGAAAATGCTTCTGAAAACGATGTGGATCTCGTTGGTGTAAAACCGATCGATGCTTCTAAAAGCGGCGATGATTCGTTCGAAAAGTCAGGCTTGGATGAAGTCAACGTTATCTTCACCGAGGACGAATCTCTGATCATTAGCGATGAAAATCAAAGCGATCCAGCGGTCGCCGAACAAAATTCTAATCAGCTTTTCGTCAGCATCAATCGGAATCCCGAAGATTCCGGTTTATACTCCGCCGAGATGTCTAAGAAAGAATCGAGCTCGAGCGATACCAGCGGCGAATTCATTCTGAGCGAAGATACCAATAACATGGACCGATCACCCGCGCAATCCGAAGGGTCCAAGACCTCGCCGCTTCCTGAAAATCATCTAAGTACTCCGCACGTTTGTGTCAAGCTCTGCAATCTCATCAAAGCTCAACTAGGTACTGTGAACGATTTTATTTGTATATTTGACCAAGCAGTTTGAGCTGTAACGACGTTTTTTATGTCGCAGTTCTAGCACACGCTGAAGTCTCAAAGAGATTCGATCTGCCGAAAATTTCTCTGTCCGACGCCGCTAAAACGGTGATCGCTAGCAACGCCAGTAATATCAGTATCACCAGCAATACTGGTAAAAAGGTGAAAAAAGCCGAGGATAAAAAAATCGAGTTTCTGTCGGAACCCTCAGAAACATCCCTGGAGGAGATTCCCGCGCCCGTGTATCCGGAAGGCGAAGGTTTTTCCATAGACGAGACGGCGCCGGACAGTCACAAGTTCAAGCTGACCATGTTCCAGCCGACCGATCGAGCGAACTTCTTCCGCACAGTCTCGAAGGAGCTGAAACTGTTAAAAAGTTCACTGCCACCTGGTATATGGGTCAAGGGCTTCGAGGATCGCATGGATCTGTACTCGGTCATGATGCGCGGACCGGAAAAAACCCCGTACGAGGATGGCCTCTTCCTGTTTGACTTCCAACTGTCGGTCGATTATCCTTCCGCGCCGCCGCTCTGCCATTACATCTCGTACTGCAGCGATCGACTCAATCCGAATCTTTACGAGGACGGCAAGGTGTGCGTGAGTCTATTGGGCACGTGGGCCGGACGCGGCACCGAAGTCTGGACCAGCTCGTCGACTTTGCTCCAAGTTATCGTATCGATTCAGGTACAGTAATTCAATAGTCATTATTGAATACGTTTATAAATTACCGATGAAAATTTTGACACAGGGGCTTATTCTCGTGGCTGAACCATACTTCAACGAGGCTGGATTCGAAAAACAGAAGGGTTCACAGCAGGGCCGTGAAAATTCAAGAATGTACAACGAGATGGTCGTTCTGATGCTCGTGCAGTCGCAGACCAAATTAATTCAATACCCACCGCCAGTGTTTAAAGATGCCATAATTCAACACTTTGAAAAGCACGCGGAAAAATTACTGAAAAGACTGGAACTCTGGATGGAAATTTCAGAGCAGTACAATAATCAGCACCCCTTGTCGCCGGTTACACCGACTACTTTCAAAGAAACTTCGCCATTCGGTTCGTTTGCTCTCACGATATTGAAAAAAAAACACATCATTGCTCCCGATTATTAATTATTTATTCTCTATTGTTTCCAGACAAACAAATTCTACCCGAGTTCCCACTGATACCCGCGTCGAAAGGCTTCTGCATAACTCTCAAAAATACTCTTGCAAATTTCAAGCGCACCCTCATTCGCGAGGGTATAATCAAGCTTCCACTGGAAACGTCGATGACGCAAAGCGCAACCGACGAGACGAGTCTGAACGAGTCGCCGAAGGGTCGCAAGAGTTTCCCGACCGATGGGATCAGCGGCACCTCGACTCCGGAGCGCGTCGTCGTGTGCTCGGCAAACAATCAGGGTAACAGGAACAGCAGCGCCGCCGTCGTCGAGCTGAACGAGTCGACGACGAAACGCGACAGCATCGAGCGTAACTCCAGCTAGCCACAAGGTAAACCCAAACGCTTGGCTCGCCAGAACAGTCACGCGACAATTCGGTAATACACGTCGAAGAGCTGAGATCGCTAGTCGTTTACACGCACGAGCCTCGTATATGTATTTCGAAATTCATTTCTACGATCGATTATGGTATACATCGTACGATGAATTAATCGAATTTTAAAGAAAAAAAAAGGCAGACTCGACGCTGCGCAAAAACTTTTAAAGGCACACGCAGCTGTGTACACGCGTTACACTGAGCTACACGATACAGATATATATGTAGATCGTGCAGTCAATTATTCAGCAGCTCGTCCGGGTACGCTTAACGTAGTAAACTGAACAAAGTGCTTTTATTCAATTCGTTGAATGCATTAAAACAAAAAAAAAAGAAAAGAAGAAAAATGGTTTAATTTCTGCCTCAAAATTATTCATACTTATTATCGCACCAATGAATGAACTTACGAGTGCGCGTGTATTTTCATTGTTTCAGATGTAACGTATAGGTGCTTGTTGCGTATTAATGAACGTGAAAATCTATCGCCGAACTTTATTTTTACGGAATATACCCGAAAAAAATAAGTTTTTCTTTCAAAAAGATTCATCATCACGATTAAATATCGATTGTAATCTAGAGAAGTATACTTACATACCTGAAAAAATTTTATAGCGTCTATTGAGCTATAAAGTTCTTTTAACAAAAAAGAGAGATTAGTATTTACTATTTCTTCGCTCATACATTGTTTTTAGATGTATCAAAGATTTTACTATTAAGGTAGATAAGATCATTTTAAAGGTAAAATTATCAATAACAGTGCCATTTTAAAAACGATTTTGGGGCAGATCTTTTAATCATTAGAATGCATCATGTCGTTTGTATTTAAAACGTTTAGCTTCGTGATTTTACTCGGGTCGCGTTGTAATGCATGTAGTCTATATCACAAAAAAACTGCACTCCCAGTTTAACGAAACTACAATGCTAAGTATAGTTCACTCGTTCTATCGGAACCTGAATAAAAAAAGGCGAGATTATTTTTCAAAATTAGTAATAAGCAATTTCAAGCAATTCATTGACTTGAGCTTTACGTTGCGTTTAGGTCTTAGGGCAGCGGTAGTTTCGTATAAGGATATCGCTTAAACGGAGTGTCCTACGAGTCGTGGATATTGAAATTCAATGAGCAATAATATTAATTGTATTATCAATTATCAACATTTAACAAACAAAAAAAAAATATAATCTGATATGCGCAATATTAGAACATTAAAATCTCATTGACATTTTAAATCCGAATGCACGAGAAAAAAAAAAGATTATTGTTAGCAATACGATTGCGCGGTGAGATGTAAGATAGCTGTAAGAGCATGCAATTGCGAAAAGTAGTCCAGGACTACTGTGCGTCGTTGAGTTTTACATGCGCAGCTTATATAGAATTCCATCCATTATTAAGAGGCGACGTTGTGGATACGAAGTGAAAAGAACGAGATACAAAAGTTATAGTTATTACAGATAGAATAAACTATTATTATTAAGTACGTAGTTTTTAGGGGAAAAAGAAGTAGACGATTCTACTCGTAGAATCAAGAAAACATTGATTATTCTCTTTAAAAAAAAGTGTAATTATTAATCAATCCTTTCGAGCAATTCTTGTCGATGAAATTTCTTTCGATGGTTCAGCATTATTTGTTAAATAACTATTAAAAAATGGCTACTTGGAAATAAGAAAAAAATTATATTGTTCGCACCGAGTACATACCTACGATCGCGAGTATCGATTCAGTATTACTTATATGTTTAAGTTCATAAACTTATTTTGTAAAACATAAATGTTGATTATACTTTTATCATTTGTTCAGAAATATTACTCGAGCTTCTGAAGCATATAAATTGTTACCAAATAAATATTTATTAAGTTTTTTTTTTAAATGTATTCCTACTCCCAATATATTATTTAAATTTTTTTGCTTTCGTTTTTCATAGTAATCGATAATCCGTCTATCCAATTCGCAAAGTCTTAGTCTTATAGTCATAAAGCTAAAATTAAGAATTAAAAAATAAAAATGCTACAATCTTAAGAATGATTGTAAAAATTATAAATTACAAAGTCTGATCCGTTTGAAAAATTATTTTCATTCAAAGCACTAGGAATGCGTGATCGGCTAACTAAATCTGAATTCAGTATTATTTCGAAATTAGATGGACGCGAAGAATAGGGGAAAAAACACGTAGCAAAATCGAAAGGGAGAGAGTAATTTTTGTGTAATATCCTGCCATAAGCGCGCACATTAGAATGGTGCTGTACTTTACATTAAATTAAATGACAAAAAAAAGCACAATGGAACGAAGAAAAGTACGTAGCAAAACTGTATAAAAAAACAAAAAAAAAGTCTGTGAGTATGGGGATGGCAATTTGGAGGAGAAAGTGTACAATATATACCAAAAGAAAATCCGAAAAAGTGGGTAACGATGTAAGAATGAAAGTAGTGAATAAGCGAAGAGGAAGAATGATAATACACGATAAACAAAATAAATAAAAAAAAAACGAGAAAGTATTGTAACGAAGAAAAAATTGAAAAAAAAAAAGAAGTATATAACTTTTGTGTGCATGTATAATGAAAAATTTTTCGTTTCTTGGCCAAAGCGACGGAAGAAACGTGATGTTTGAGATGCCTTGTATATGTGCCAGCTATTTATATTTGTGATTATTATCTATATTTTCTATTCTCATAAATCGCCGAACGAATCGCGCGCTCGTCTTTCTTTTTCTCACTGTGAGTTTTTTTTTTCTTGTCAAAGGGGGGGGTATATAAATATACTCTATCATTACGATATACATAAATACAAAGAAAGCATTTTCATGCCGTCATGTATAAAAAAAATGTTTTAACAAAAAATGTCTTGTAAGTTTATAAGTAATAATAGCGGGGGTGTTGAAAAATGACTTTTTTAACAAAAAAAAAAAAAAAAAGAAGAAACCTTAACATACCGTCGCAATTACTGCGTTCACGATATAATATTATCCCGTATATGATGATAACGAATGAAAAAAAAAAAATCACACAGATTGTACTTTTGCTTTGATTAAGTTTTCTCCGATGATTTTATCAATAAAAATATCATTTAAATCAAAAATTATAAATGTTCTTTTGTTATTTTCTCAACAGATCTTCGAGGCCTTTCCAAAATTTCCAATTCCAAAAGCAGAGTCCAGCTTCGTCCGTTAATCCCGTTCATGTTTCGTCATTCAATATAGAAAAATTTGTTTGGTACCGTATTTACGCGTACTTGAATGAATAAAGATTGGTCCAAAATCGTGTTACTCGTATTGTGTGTTTATAAATTATATACAATAATTGTCATTCAATTTAATAATTACTCGTGCCACTTGTTTTCCAAATGGTCAAAAAGATAATGAATATTAACTTTGACTTAATTTTCTTACATAGGATCAAAATTTGTAATGAGTTCGGTTGATACAAACAAAAATGCCTACTTAACTTAATTCTAGCAATCTATTGAAATGAATTTACCGCTACGAAAAAGTCTTCGAACGTCAGCCGATCGCATGCGTAAACGCTCACGGACACTGTATACGCTTATTAAACGTGTGTCGCGTAAGCCATTTACTTACGAAAATACTCGGCTATAGATTCGTCATGTAAACAGAACACAAGAGAAGCAGCAGCTGGCCAGTAACGAATCGTCGACTTCGAATCTTCGAATCTCTGTTTTCGATCGATAAAACGTGCGCGCGTTCGGTAATCTTGACGATGTCCTAGGGCGAACAACTCGAAAGAGTGAATTCAGTTTCAAAGAGTATATTTTGTATTGTGTGTAGTGTGTACACAGCGAAAATGTCTTCGTCCAGCGACGAATCCGTATCCGTTGCTAATTCGGAAAGCCCCTGGGATAACTCCAGCGATTATTCCGATGCCAGTTCGGAAAGCTCCTTGGATAACTCCAGCGATCATGCCGACGAGCGCGTGAACGTTATCGCATACGTCGAACGAGCGCTAATGAGCGGTGAATCCTCCAACGACGACGACGACGACGACGACAACGACGAAAACAACGACGACGACCAGTTCGATCCAGCTATGTTAGCCGAACAGATCAAGAACAATTGGGCGCTATACCATCGCGACGTGCAGAACAAGCGCGAATTCTACCTCGAGGTGTTGTTTCAATCGATCGGCGCTCACAAGGACAGGCCGTTTCCGCAGCTTCGCCAGATCTACACGGCCAAGGAGCTCGACCAGCTTCTTCTGGACGCCGTGGAACACAACGGCTGCTCGAGGGTATGGAGGCGCATCGTCCCTTTGGTGGCGCGCAGCGGCCACAAGCACGTGGCCGAGCTCGACGACGCGGGCAAGCCGCTGCTGCGTCGCGCCACGGTCGTTCATCGGGCGGCCCAACGCAGCTTGAAGGAAATCATGCCGCACCTGTTCGAGATCTACGACGGATCGTACGACGCGAATTACGTCGACGAGGCGGGAGTCACGCATTTTCACCTGGCCTGCAAGTACGGCCATTACGAGGCCTGCGCGGGATTCATCGCCTCGGCCAACAACAAGGTGGACGTGAACGCGCCGACCGGGGCGGGCGACAGGCCGCTCCATCTGGCCCTGTCGAGCCCGAACGACGACCCGCGACTGATCGAGCTGCTGCTGCGCGCCGGTGCCGATCCGAATCTGGCCGATCCGAGGGACGGCTCGACGGCGCTGCACCTCGTCTGCAGGAAGTACTCGCACGCGTCCGCGCGCAGACTGTACGAGCTGAGCGAGAGCCGCGGCCGGCCGATGCTGGTCGACGCCGCGGACGCGCTGGGCCACACGCCGCTGCACGCGACTCTGCTGCAAGGCGGCGAGAGGATGGACACGGTCGAGTTTCTGCTGAGACGCGCCGGCGCCAATCCGAATCTGGCCAATCCGAGGGACGGCTCGACGGCGCTGCACCTGCTCTGCGGCCAGGGTCGCAGGTGCGACGCGTTCCTGGCGAGGCTGCTGTTCCAGGCCAGCCGAGGCGAGTTCCTGCCGCTGCGGCTCGACGCCCCGGACAAGGAGCTGGGCGACACGCCGCTGCACCGGGCCGTGCGCAGAGGCAACCGCGTCATGGTACAGCTGATGCTCGAGCAGGGCGCCCATCCGCATCTCGCCAATCGCCGGGGATTCACTCCGCTGCACTTGATCTGCACGCGGGAGGCCTTGAACGGCGAGCGAAGAATCGCGACGTGGGCCGTGGCGGCGGCGTTTCACCGGGGCTGCGTGGGCCGAGCAAGAGGAGGAGGAGGCGGCGGCCGCCTCTTCGATTTCGTCGACGAGCCGGACGCCGACGGCAACACGCCGCTGCACTTGGCCGTGAGCAAGAAAAGGATCGATATAATGGATTTTCTGCTGGAGCACGGTGCCGATCCGAACGCCCGCAACGAGCTCGGATCGACCGTTCTGCACATGATTTGCGAGATGAACCATTTTTCGTACAGCGATTGGGCGACGTCGTTCTTCAAAAAGTGTCGCCGTCTCGGGCGACGGGTGCGGGTCGATATCAGGGACCCTTGGGGCCGGACGCCGCTCGAACGGGCCGTGGCGAGTCTACAACCGAAAGCGATCGGCGAACTCTTCTATAACGGCGCCGATCTGTCCGGCTTCGTTTTTCCCTCTCTGAGAGACTTCGACAGGGACAGAACGGAGAATGCGGATTGTACGCCTTTTTACAAGATGAAGTTGGCGGCCGGTGCTCTGGTCTGCGCCGAGCGCCTCGCCAGAAGAGGATACCAGCTGGTCATGAGCGACGTCTTGACGATCATGAGAATTTTCGCCAGGTACAACTTGTTCGAGATATCGACGGAGAATATCAAGGATCTGCGCGACAACGTCCAATTCCGGGACCTCTCGAAGCTGATGAAGTTCAAGCCGGATCTGACGCTCTACGATCTGATCCGCTTGCGACCCGAAGAGGCGGCCAAAAGACTCACCTACAAGAACTACTACAAGTTCAAGAGTCGTCCGGTGAAGCTTCGGGACATTCCACCGAGCTATAGATCGGCTTGCGGCGCGCATCTGGCCGAGAAACTGTCGAGAAAATTTTTCCTGGGCTGGGGCTTGGATTGCTTCATGCAGCTGACGCACCATCGACTGCCGATTCTTTGCTGCGAGATGATCATCCGGCATTTGAATAACAAAGATTTGTTTCTTATTTGCTTGGTGACCGCGATCAAGGCTACGAAAAATTTAAAATGGCAGATGGAAAATGTAGTTGAATGTAATGACGAGGAAAGACCTGTGGAAACTACGAACGATTCGAGATGGCAGATGGATGTCATTAAACGTAATAATAGGAAAAGACGCGCGAAAGCTAACGAACAATCTGGAACGGCAGATCGATGATACAAAATGTAAAAAGAGAGAAGTTGCGAATACCGATGGATGGCTGGTCGAAGATGTAGAATCTAATGAGCAAAACGCGTAAAAGCTACAAACAATTTTAAATGAAAAAAAATAGTATGTGCACCGAGAAGTTTCTTTTTCATTCTTTTTACGAAATCAATAAAGAAACAATTTTATCGTCGATTAAAGAACGTCTTGAATACGACAAGCTTAATACAATATTAATTGTAATTTTTAATGTCTTGTATCATAAGATTTTGCATATTTTCTGTGTTATTCAAATAAACATAGATAAAAAAATGAAATCATTAGCTGGCTTATTATTTATGATTTGTTTTTGGTGTTACAATTTTGTTTTGCAAAAAATGAAAATAAAATTAAGTAAGTACTTTTAAATAGTACATTCCCAAAGATTAGCCCTTCAGCTCTATAAACTCATGATAATCGAACAAAAAATAATTGAAGGATGCTCTTTGCTTAATTATGAGACATTTTTGTTCAAATCAATTGCTGGAATCGATGGTTGTCGAGAATAAAAAATTAGTCAATCAAGCAATTATTTATGTTTTTAGAGCTGCATTTGGTTAGAGGAAATAATTGAAAAATCTCCAAAAAATATCTCAAAATACTTTTACCATCCCGATCACTCCTCGCCACACTCGTATCTTCAAACTCTTTCTTTAAAAAAATCATTGAAATTACGCAATTTTGAAAAAGTCTTCATTGCCATGAATTCTTCGTTGCCATGAATTGTTCATGGGCTTTGAAAATGTTTAGGAACGGAGAAAAAAATGAAAGAAAACTTCGTCGGTATTTTTTATAACGCATCCGTGCTGTTTTCTACAGTGGTCGTCTAAGGACAGAAGAGGCTTCCATGGGATCATATTTTTGAGGCTCCAATACGAGGCTCGGTGCGATACGGGAAAGCGCGTGATCGAGTTCGTGGCTCGCTGCGGCTACAGGCACGAGTCCAAGCTCGACGACGCGGGCAAGCCGCTGCTGCGTCGCACCACGGTCATTCATCGCGCGGCCAGACGCCGCTCATACGACGTCATCCCGGCTCTTTTCGAGATATACAACAGATATGATGTTAATTACGCGGACTCACGAGGCGTTACGCATTTTCACCTGGCCTGCGAGTTCGGCGTTTTACGACGTCGTCGAGAAATTTCTCAAGCTCGGCAAGGTGGATCCCAATTGTCGCGTGCCCAAAACAGGAGATTCGCCGCTGCTCTCGAGCCTGATCCACGTAGGTCATCGGGCCATCCAGACGATCCGAATCCTGATAAAAAAAAATCATTGGAATTACGCAATTTTGAATAAATCTTCGCGCAGGACGCCGCGCAAAATAAAGAAAAACGGAAGGAAGCTCTCCGATACGTAACGATTTCCTAATTACAAGTAGGCCGTCGACCGTGAGCTGGTATGCGATGAGTGATACGACGAACAAGTGCCTTCCACCTTCAGCCTGTTGAATCAGAATGTGTCATTATATTATACACACGCAGAGATAAGAGAAGGTGAGCACTGCCTATATACAACGACGCTTAATACACATTATCTGCGCAGATATAAGTGGTATAGGTGCAATAGCCGCTATCTCTGTACGGGCCGGGTCGCGTCTCTTATCATTTCGCGGCTGTTGTTGATTCACTCGCAGTAGGCGCGGATCGCAGTCGACGAGTTTTTCGTGTATAACAGCCACGACGAGGCGCGTAAGAGGAGATAATAAAGAATACTTCGCCCACAGAAGAGTGCGTTGTTTCGATCGTTAAAGGTGTATCCGAGAGTTTGTGCGTGTGACAACGAGTGAGAAAATTAAAGAGAGAAAAGTTTTTAATCATCATGAAGAGCTTCAATCGGATTTTCTTCTGCTTAGCGGTTGCTTTAGGTGAGTAATTATTATTTTAAAAAATTGTTATATAAATTACATAAGATTCGCGTGCAAAATTCTAAGGTAGTAACGATTTTAAAATTAATGAAATAATTTATGCATTGTGAATTTGGTGATGCAAAAAACATCGAAAAAGGTGTTATTTTACATTTAACTGGGCTCTATTTAATTCAATAGAAAAATATTCGCGCATAGTTGCGTTATCTATCCCAAAAAAATACGCGTACATATATAGTTTCCAAAGATAACTGCCAATTGTGACGCGTCGCGTTTAACCGATTAATGTACTTACTCACATAGTTTCGATCCAAAAACGTAGAAAATTACCTAAGATTCATCGAAGCGCCTCGAAATCCATCCATCCATCGAAGAAAAAAAACGAATATCTATTATGATCGAAAAATTTACTTTAGCGCAATCTTATTCATTTTCTTATCCCTTTTATTTTCAGTTCTGCTCGCCGTTTTCACGAACGAAGGAGAAGCCAGAAGGAAAATTTTGCGCGGCCGCAAAACAATAACGAGGCAATACTACAGTACGTATACTACTCTTCGTGTTTTTTATTTTATTTCAAAATGAATCAAATCATTTGATTTAATTACTAATGTTGCTTTTTAAATTATCAGGGCCGTCGCTGCTACCGGCATGGGCGATCGCACTCTTGGTCGGAATTGCTGAGATCGTCGTCGGAGTCGCCGCGTTCTTCCTTTTGCGAAGGATCTTCGAAGATAAAATACACTCGAGTTCGATTCCCACTTATCAACCTGCAACTATGCAGGACGAAGAAGTGTGAGACGCCGAACGAGTGTACTAGAATACCTGACCAATAAAATGTATTTTTTTCTTCGTAGAATATATAATTCTAGTTTTAAGTATGAATATTGTATAGCTCGTAGATTAAAATTGTAAGCGCTATTTTTACCTCTGGAAAAAAATTGTATCTTTGAATTATTTTCATCGATTGCGTTTGTTGAATCAAAGGAGAAAATTCGAATGAAATAAATATTTCAAAATACTCAAGTGCGGCAGTACACATTTCAAATTTTTAGCATTTTTATCTCTAAAAAATGATTTATTTTTTCAAATTAGATGTTTTATACAAATTTCATTATCGTAAACAAATTCATAATTATTACATGTATAGATAATTGAACCGAGAGACGCGCAAATCGCTCAAGAAAACCCAAGTTATTCTTTCACTCTCGAAGTTCCAATCACAAAAAAGAAGGTGCGTTCGCGTGCAGATAAACGCATTCCAAGAGAATAATAGGCATTCTTATAAAATTCATTGACAAAAATGTAAATATTGAAAACCATTTAATACAGGGTAAGTATTTTTGTAGATACTAGTTTCGAAGAAACTCAATCAATATACATTTTTTCTTTTTTATACGATGATATTGCTCTTACATAAACAAAGCGACATTTACACTATGTGAAGATTACAGAAAAAAAATATTATTAAATAGTGATTTAAAATTCTCTACGGTGGTACTTGTCGGGGTCGAAGTACGACGTGACCACGACGCGGTTATTGAACTTACGACCTGTGAGCGTCTGTTGTGCTTTTTGACAATCGATGACGCTGTTGAATTCGACGAATACCTATAATGAAAATAAAAAAAGAATTGATTACAATAAAGAAGTTTTTTGATCGCAATTTTAACAAAAAATTGAATATCGATGCAAACCTTTCCACATCCGGGCACGTCAACACCTTCAATCGGTCGTGGAATTTCGACGGATCTCACAACGCCGTATTTGTTACATTCTTCCTTGATATCTTCAAGAATGTCCTCGTATTCCTCTTCCTCCATGAGCTCCTCCGGCGTCACCATGTTCAACAAACACAGTACCTGCGAAGGACAGTTTAGAGATTAGAAAAATTTACCAACTTTATGCAAATGAAATGAAATATTTGAAAAAAAAAAGGAATTAATAATACCTCTGTCGGAGGTCCACTCGTGCCGACCATGGACAAGCCAGGAACTTGAATTTGAACCGGCGCCTGGGCTCCGATCATCGGATTCTTGGCACCTACGCTGGCGCGCTGCACGATCAGCTTCTTGTCACCGAGCTGCATGCCGTTGAGTCCTGCTATCGCTTGATCCGTCATCGACACGTCGATGTACTCGCAGAACGCGTAGCCCTTGGACAAGCCGGTAGCCGAGTCTTTCACCAGATTGAATGCTCGCAGTTGACCGAAACTCATTAGCAACTCCTTAACCTATGTAAATAGAAAAAAAAAGAAGAAAATGGGTTAATCGCGAGTCGAAGTTCGTGAATTTGACGTACGATTTACTGAGAATAGAGCTTTTCGATAAAAACGGAAATTACGATTGATTCAATTTATTTTGTCTGATTTGAATGGTTTATCGTGAAGTGTGGTAAGTTTGATTGACTATGATTTTGTGAAGCAATTTATCAATACCAAAAGCTTTGAGTAAATTAATAAGAGAAGATGTTTCTTAGTTAAATATTACTTAGCTATTTGGAAAAATATTACGTACAACAAATCAAAATAGTTTGTGCATATCTCACCACTGAATTGCAATACTTTTAAAGTATTTGGACAATTTCAACTCTATTCTCAGCATTCCCCCATGTTTCGTCGCTTTGAATCATCGTTGAAAGACGATAATTTTCATTTTGACAAAATTCATTACGAACTGAACCAAAAATCATTTCATGTAATTTTTCAGAACTCAACAAAACTTTCAAGACCCAAAGCTTTCGAAACATGGACTTTATTATCATCCCCTTTTTTTTTGTTAGTGTTAACTCTAATTTTTTTTTACACCTGCTTCATCATTCTTAGCTGTTGAAATTTCGTCAAGGTACTTTATTCTCTCTTTTCGATCCAACAACGATGCAAAGTTTTATGCATTTTTCAGATCTGACATGTCGCTAGAGCTAAATTAATCATAAGCACGAACGTTTTCGTCGTCGTGCGCGAGTGCGCGTGATATTTCTACCGTCAAGGAAAATTTTTCCACGATCGCTCGCAATGAAAAAAGTGTTTGCACGCATAGTACGATTCGCTCGATGGACTTTAACCCTCGCGAACGCTTCGTCGGTTGTTTCTTTTTTCTTTATTTTTGGCTTTTCGGTTAAAGTGTGATAATGCAATCGTAGCTGTTTTTTTTCTCTCGTCGATATGAAAGATATTATCTCGAGTGAGGAAACTGGAGTGTGAACTGTGTTGTTAACTAGTACTTGCCTCGAGGGACTGCGTAAGCCTCTCTCCAGGCATTGTGGATTTTTGTCATGTGCATTACTGGTGGTAGTAGTAGTAGTAGAAGTAGAAAGCAAATTTGTTCGATCGGCGCGACTCTAAGCTATGAAAATAGGGGGAAAGAAAAGGGAAAGATACATTTTACTGAAAGTGCATCACATAGTTCAAATTTTTGTTTTGTTTTTTTCAAAGTTGTGATCTTTATACTGGTTGAAGATATCGGTTTTCTCGTTGAAAACTTTTTCTTTTCTGAAAGATGATTTTACTGAAAAAGGACGTATTGCTTTTTTTTGCTTTTGTCTGTTTTTTTTTTTCATTAAAGCCTGTGAAACATGAAAATATCAAGGCATATACTCGAAGATAAAGCCTGAAAAAATTTTGCCTGAAAAGAAAATTTGCTGCAAAAAAGGGAAAGCATAACACTGTCACTCTTGGCGTTCCTAAAAAATTTTGACGTTTTTTTTTTTAAACCTGAAGAACCATCGAGTGCCGTACGCAGGATAACCCAAAATACCTAAATGATAAAAAAAAAGTTTCGATTCTTCGGCCCGGATCTCCAGCAGTGCGTTTGACGTTTTTGCGAACTGCATAGAGATTATGTGTTTGATCTACTAAAGACTTGATTGCTTTTTCATAGTGAAATCATTTATTTTGAAAATTATGGGTTCCGTTTCCTCCCTAAAATAGAATTTCTCGATGCAGGGGAGACCGAGATAATTTGGAAGAAAAAATTAAGCTGAAGTGATTTAACACCGGGCATGGTCACTTTATCATAGATAGAATAATCGCATCAATTTTTCGCAGTTACAATATACTGCATTTGCTTGATATTCAACATAATTATTTAATCAAATTATATTTTGATTTTTTAAATAAGTAATTGATGTGTTGAATTACTATTCAATAATAAGATAAAAATAATAAAAATAAAAAGATTTAAGCGAATTAAATCCAATTTACTCCCGTCTCCCCTGAAATGTATGGATTCCTCTGTAAATATACACACCACTAGGGACCAATCGACAGCGTGCCTAAAAAAAGGCTGAAAATAATAGTTTCTTCTTTGTCGCTGAGCCGTGCTGTTTAAGAAAGCTGTAACGACACTCACTCACTTTCATAGTGTTCGTAAGAGTATGCAATGTATTCATTAACTTTTTTTAAATATAATTTACCATATTCTTTCAAAAATTTTGCAAATATGCATTTATATCTATAAAATGTGACAAAAATTGTCATGATAATTTGAGACTTTTGGAAAATGATTGGCTCAAAAAAATTTTAAATATCCTGAAAAATTAGTCACAAAAATAACAGTGAACACCATGAACTCGATTCCTAACAACAATCTCTGATAAAAACACCTAAATTTTTTGTCGCAAAATAGCGATTTTCAAAATTGAAGAACAATTAGCTATTATGGCTAAAATAGATAGAATCCTACTCAACGCTGACACCTGGGAAAAACTCATACATACCTCGATGAACAAAGAAATTACTTAGCACCTTGAACCAATACCAGCAAGCTAAATAGCTAGATATTTGGATTTTGTATACATGTACATGTTTTTAAAATAATCAGGCCCTTGTTTAATAAGGGTGTATACGATAACTATCGCACACACGTCTATCAATACACATAACATCATTTCATGTATTAGTGTACATCAAAGATTACTGTGATTGCAATCAGTGATTTTACAGAAATAAATGAAATCAATATTATCTGGTGTGTGATAGTTGCAAAAATAAACATCTTACATACCTGATCTTCACTTAAGTAGTTAGGTAAACCACCAATAAAGATTTTGTGTGGTGAATCTGTAAAAAGGGAATAATTAGTTACCATGATAAAAAATTAATTTCAGTTTTTAAAATGACAGTTACCTGGAACATTCATGCTTGGATTGTCTGTCATTCCTGGCATTGGTTGATAATCATGTGGTCTTCTAATTTTTAAACTCTGTCCTTTAAAGTTTATACCGTCAAAGGCCATTGCTTGAGTTGTTTCATCAATGGAACGGAACTGAAATATTAAAATAAATTTTAAATTTTCTTATACTGAAACAGCTATGAGATGTTAATTTGTGCAACAAAATTATTGACTATTTGTCATAATTATTATTTTTAATAAACCTCACCTCTAAGAAAGCAAAATTTTTGTCAAGGTTTATCTGACAAGCTAATACTGGGTTACCAGCAGCTTGAGCTAAGCCAGATAAATGCATTTGTTGATTGAAAAACTCCATCATTTCTTCTTCTGTTACTCCAAAAGGAATATTTCCAACATACAAACGTCTAGCTTGTCGAGTAATAGTGGACCCTACAACAGGAACAGCAGCTTGTGGAGTGTCTGCAACAATATTTGCAGGAATTTGTCCAGCAGCTTGCATGGCTTTATACTGAAAAATGAAACATATAAAAAAATTAGTACGATTCACGATGGCTTTGATAAAAGTCATAGTTATTCACAAACCTGTAGTGGAGTAATATGCTCGAAGCCTGGAGGAGGGACATCCCAATAGAGCGAAGGCTTTCTTCGTCTAGAGCCTCTGGAAGAACTTCCCTTTTTGGGAGAACTACTGCGTTTGCGGTCTCTACGGTCTCTACTCCTTGAACGGGAGCGTTTCCTGCGATCTCTACTTCTTGATCTGTGTCGTCTATCTCTGTCTCTGTCACCATGATCCCTGTCTCGTTCACCCCTTTCTCTGTCTTTCTCTCCACGGTCTCTTTCTCTGTGTTCTTTACGATCACGGTCTGCAAGAGAGATGAATATTTATTACTAAAATAATAATTAACAAAAATATATTTTTGTAAACTTTGTGTATATCAAGGACACCAAACAATGAATATCAAACTAAATTATTCACCAAGCACCAAGGATTGTTATAAAATTGTACAAAAATACACAAATATACAGCACCAACGGTAACCAAGAAATCAATAAAAAATCAACAGCCTGATCAACAGCTATTCAACGAATTTCAAAAACTAAATAAGTAAAAAAGATTGTTTAGCTTCGCGGGACATTTAACCTAGAATTCTGTTTTCACGGTTTAACAACACACACACAAGCACGCACACACAAGCCCAACAGCCATCGAGCGGCCATTGTCGTCGTGGATTACAAATCGTTACAAAAGCAATGTCAAACGAAAAAAAACGGTGCATCTTTGGTGAAAAACGTGACCCACCTCCGTTGAAGTCTTCGCCCATGATTGCAGCCGGACGAGGTGTCGATGAGTACTAGCACGCCTCGTTAATAACAAAGCCTTAAGTCTAATTATTTTCCTCCGGGGTAATCAATCGTCAGAAGTTTTCTCTTATGATGCGGCGGATCAGGCACGCACAACGGACTCGCGCGAGGCCGGAGTCGCTCGATTTTGTGTCTTCTCCGCTTGCGCCGCCGTAGCGTCAGATGGCTGCACCGGTCGGCTCGGCTCGGCTCGGCTCAGGCTGCTGTTGCAGTGCAGAGCAGGATCGCGCGTCCGCGCACGCATGCGTTGATATTCAAAAACGGAGTGTAATCAAGTTAAGATATTAAAAAAAAATGAAGCAATTAATGACCATATATTCATTGAGTTTAATTGATAAATTTCATTGGAAAAATTACAATAAAATGTATCAATTTATCTTAATTCTAAAAGTTTCATCAGCTCCTTATAAATTTCATAATACTTTTGAAAAATGACTTACACATTTTGCATGAAAAAGACAATGCAGTCGTGAGTAAAAAAAGTAACTAGTCGATGCATACAAAAAGAAGCCTAAAGCCGTATATGCAAAGTCGAAAGAGCCGATAACGCAATTCGCAATCTCGCGCGCGCGCGAACCGAAGTCGCGTGATCATTTCTCAGCGAGCTAAGCGTGCAAAAAAGGGAGCGATAGCTTAGCTACATATAGTAAGCTAATGGGACAATGGTTGGTGGCAGTGCTGCAGCAGTAGACGTCGACAAGCAGGCTGTTGTTGTTTCGTAGCAGAAAGTTCGCGATCGTGCACTGCACTTCTCGTTCGAAAGCTACGTAAAGGAGTCTCGAAAAATTGGGAAATGTATCGGCTCTCCCCGACAACTGTCAAAAGCACAATATCGCGTCGTCTCGCGCCGACAGTTGTGAATTATTATTCGCGTCGCGATTGATAAATAATAAACGGCGCACGTTGGAGGATAAGAAAAAAACGCGATAGGCGCGATAACAATGGGACGTGCATCGACGACGACGACGACGACGACTACGAAACTTATGCAGCTTATACAGTTTTCTTGCGTGCAACAGTTGAAAACGATCACGCGATGAGTGATTCGATTCGAAGGGGCCAAAGACAGAGAGGACAGAACCTGCAAACGGCACACACACACGTGTGCGCTACTTTTGTTTTTGAATCATCCGACCGCATCTTGTTAATTGCACACTGAGTGTGAATGCTCGCTAACGAGCTCCTGCCACCTCGTGTCGTGGTAACGTCGCTTTTGGTCGTTGCATCGTGCGGGAGACCCATCGTTGCTGCCGGCTCATGGAGGATCGATACATTGATATCGATAACACCCGTCATTGATCTCGATAAATATATTATAAATACACGACTGCACCACGATGCATCGATTCATGCAGTTTTCCATACTGTTGATGGTATTTTTTGAAAATATCATCAACGTACCAGGATCGAGTCACTGGGTCGTGACGGACGATGGACTAATCCGATCTATGGTGAGTAACTCGAGTGTCATATTGTTTCCATTGTCGTTTCGCATGATTGACTGTAGACATTTGCATTTTTATTGACACCTGTCATTGTTCTTTTATAATATGAAATGAGACCTGCAAATGCTTGTCTTAACTTCACTCATTGTTAAAACAATTCGAGGTTATCGAACTGATAACAAAGTGTCTGCTGTCTACAGTCCCATGTTCATTCTTAGAACCCTTGAAAATTAATCTATCATATATTTATCCTGTTTAATTTGAAATAATTTTTACATTTGAAAATTAATAATTTTTTTGGTGTTGACAGGGAATTTCAAAATTTCAAAGAAATAGAGAGTCCTATGATCTTATAACATTTTTGGATCAAGCAAACAAGCAAGATTCTGTCAACGAACTCTTGAGAACCATGAAAGAAAGAAAGGCAATGATCCATAAACTATTTAGAGGACTACATTCTGCATCTGAGGTGGAAAATGGCCTGCATAAGACTGATCACGATTGTAAAATGACAGAAAAATATGATGTTGATTTAGATATGCATCAGAGCATTGTGATGGATGGTGGCTTTAGAGATGGAATAAAGTAAGATTTTAGCTCAAGTCAATCAATCACTGACAACTATAAAATTAGAAAATGATATTTTAATCTATTTTTCAGAAGCGAGGATTTTGGTTTAGAAGAAATGCCTATTGATAGGAAAACAATGGATCCAAACTGTACAGAAACTTTCCCATTGAATTTCCATATGCTCACTTTTGAACATTTACAAGTAATATATATCTTATCTTTATTGTGTATCAGATTAACAAAAATTAAACCAGATTTCTAATTACCATCTGTTTTATTACTTTTTTTTAGGGTATGCGAGATAGAAGGGAACTTACTCAAAAACCAGAAAAAAGTCTCATGAAGTATATACCACCTTTTATGGAATTAGAAGATCTAGGAAGTAAAATTGCTCATGGATTGAAACAAAACAAAACTTCTTGGCTACATTTAAACTTAGCTAGTATTTATTGGAGGATAAAAGGGGATGCTTACAATGCTATAGAATGTGCAAGAAGAGCAGTTGTGAAAGCTCCTAGGTATATTATCATTTTAAGATATTCAAAACATGTTAGACATCAATTTAGTATATTTTACTTATATTAATAAAAACAATGTTAATTTTTTTTAGGTTGTACAGAGATATACCTTTATTAAGTGTAGGAGGGATTTTACATGCTACAAATTATTCAACAGATGCGGTAACTGTTTTAAATACAGCCATAGATTACAAGCCAACTGAAAGTCTACATCACTTGGCTCTTGCAAACGTCTATGCACATTTAGGAGAATATAATAAATCAATTGAATGCTATGATAATGCTCTGAAACTAAACCCTCGTCTCGACGTTGCTAGAGGGGCTAAGCATCAAATCCGTTGTAATTTAAAATTGGAAAATTTATTGAGTGCTTTACATCAGTATGTTTCATCTTTATTTTACTTGATCGAAACTGATACAAATTTGTTATGACTAATTTTTAATATTTTAGACAATTACTGGATATATTGGCAGAGCTTCGAGCTTATCATAGTGAACAGACTGAGTTATTAAGTTTTCAAGAAAAAATTTTATGGGAAGATTTGAAACAAATGCCATTTTTGACTACCCCAGAAGGTATTCTGGATGATGAGTTTGACTCTTTGTTATCAACGAGAGGTCAATCTTGTATGCAAAGGGGCGAAGATCAATCAATACTTTCTTGCGATGTTGTGTCAGAGAGGCAAGTGTTCGCCCAGAAATTGCAGATGGACCTTCAAGTATTGAAAAATTTTGAAAATCGAGCCAAAGAAATACGGGAACGTATGACAAAGTCAAAAACAAGCGAGGGTAAATTATTTTCTACGTTATGTTGTTTTCCGGAAATGATTGTATTTGAATATAAATTATTATTATTTTTTTTAGATATATATGAACATTTAATTCAACTACCGGATTATTCAAAAGTTTCTTCGGTATTTATGGATCCAACTGACAGGCCTAAATACCATAATTTAGAAATAAAAAGGTCCGTTCACGAATTTGAACAGACCAATTGGCCCAAAAATTCATTATGCGAAAATATGATGCCTTTTACCGACGTGAAACAATATATCCCAGTTTACTTACCACCAGAAAATAAAGGCTTTGTGTAAGTTTTATTTTTATCATTGATTAATTATTTTCTCAAACCTGACCACTCATTTGCCATTAATTGTACAGGACTTACTTATTCGTAAATGAATTGATCGGAATGAGTTCAGTAAAGGAGCATCCACTGCCCTGGTATCCACCAATTTGTAAGGGATCAAAACCGTTCAATCCAAAGTATATTCCAGCCGAATTGATTAAAGCTACAATGGGCTACAATAATCTGCCTGACTCGAGTTTAGCTCCTCACCTCACGGCTTTAGTGGAAAATTCCGAGCTATCCGAGATCGGTCAGCGCATTCTAACTGCTACTAATTCCGTAAGTATCAAATATACTAGTGCATAAAATGATTCATTTATTGTAATGACTGTTTGCTCAATACGACAAGTACACATTTACAAATAGAAGCAGCATTGTAAAAAGTTCAATGACTCCTGTTGCAGAAAGTCGCCGCGCCGTGGGTATTATCGATGCTCGCCTCGCTGTACTGGCGTATCGTCGGGAAACCTCGCAACGCCCTAGACTGCCTTCAGCTGGCCCTCGATACCGTACCTGACAAATTCAAAGACGTTCCCCTCGTTAGCGTAGCCTCGATTAGTCACAAATTCAGCCTCATCGACAACGCGCTGTCCGCCGCGCAAGAGGCCTACAAGACCAATCCCGTCGAGGTACGAATTAACGATCAATTTTTCAAACGCGCGATTAATTATTTAAATATAACGATCGATTTTTTAATTGCACAGCCGATGACCAACTTCATGTACGGGACGTTGCTGCATCTGAAGGGAAACTATTCGGGCGCGATCTACCACTTGAAGCAGACGCTGCGCGTGGAGCCGGACGCCATGGACGGCCGAGCTCTGACGATACTTCAGACGATCGCCTGCCAGCAGAGATTGATCCAAATTAAAACAGGTGATTTCGGTGGCTACTACTGACGCCAGCCACGTAACGATTGTTTTGCATTTCTTCACACAATCGGCAGTTTATGTTTATCCTATATATGTACTTGGTCTCTGGTGTCGGGTATTAACCTGTCATTAACATTTCTCTCCGATTTACATTTGCATGCGGTGTTTTCTCGCTGTCCCGCGTGTCCGCGCGTGCATTCTCGCACGACCGTAGACGGTTTATTGGGTTAATCGCTTTCTTTTCTAAGCCAATTTTTCTCATTCGGCATGACCATAATAGGTTTCCGATACCTTTGAAGTGGGGCTGCTCTGCGGGAGCGAAAATGTATTTTATTTATTTATTCAAATTTTTTTTTTCCTCATAGGCTCGAAAAGCGATGACACTGCGACGTGGTGCATTGGAATCACTGATTTGCCGGATAAATTCGAGACCCATCATACTCGGCTAGACGAGAGTATTTTGTGCGATAACGACGGTAGAAATTGTAAACGCGTTCAATGTTTCGCCGTTCAAATTGACCCCGATACGTTGTTGCCTGATGTCTAATGTTTTGCCTTAATTACGTGATATTAAGACTTGAAAAGTAAAACAAACAAAAATAACTGACCAAAGGAGTTGCAACGAGTTGACTCATATAGAAAATATATTACTTATTATAAAAGTTGAGTTGAATGAGTGGGTTATCAAGATGATTGAATGATATTTTGTATGAAGCATATTTTTATATTTCTGAGAATATAATTCAAGTTTAGAATATTTACGATGTACTTGTTAAAATAGTATAAAAAATGTTTCTGTTGACTTTACATCGATGTATCTATTGAAAAGGATACATTGTAACTAGTTCCTCAAAACAGTTCGTATAAACTTAATTGTAACTATAATTTAAACTGATAATGCAGGCATTAGTTTTAGACGAGAGAAGGAAGTACATAGTTAACACTTGAAATGTTTATGTAATCCAAGTGCAATTTTAATGTTTTGCATTTTTTAAAAAAAAAGTGATGTAATTTTTATTCATACAAATTAAATATCTTTAGTTTATTCATTGTAACAATGATGTTCATCAACTGTCATTTTTGTATACAATTACAAATGATCTTATATTTATAGCGGTTGAAAAAAATTGTTACGGACGATTGAGCTTTGAAGATGGATCCAGTGTAACGTCGATCGAATTTTCTTTGATGTACGTGTGTCAAAGGGACCAAACGATGCTTTTTCGTGCACGAAAACATCGATTTAGTCTTGATTTTTATTACTTTGATTTCTTGTGGTACACGTTGTTTTCGCTACTTAGTTTAAACCGAAAATAAAAAAGAGAAAGCTTAATCTTACGTTTTAATAAAACTGTTTTGTTACAATTTCAAATTATTTATTTTACAATTAAAAGTTATATGTGCTTTATAGAAGAATATTTTATACGAACGAGTTTCGGAATGTGCAACGAAAAGAGGCCGCGAATTGCATCGATTTTTAACGAATGTCTGTTAAGCGGGCTATGTCGTCTATTTTCTTTAAATAAAAATGAATGATTCAACATAGACCTGAACCAACTTTGTATCAATTTTAACCCTCTCACATAAATCCATTCCATTCAACGAGTTCAGCGAGCGAAGACAAAACCGGAAATACACGTGTGTGCCACCGATCTTCGATTTCATTTCAAAAGTGGCAAAAGGCGGAAATGCACATTTTATTCTTACGTACATATGCTTGGGCGCATATAAAGCGTGCGTCGCATCGGTCAATAATGCCGCGGTGGGACTTCGCTACAATACATAACACACACACATCGAGATAGGTGCATTTGTCCCTTTCCGCCCGTTGGCTTCCGCATGTATACTACACTACACCGATATCACGTGTTATTACGTACGATGTGTATTTCACCCGGAGTAGAGAAAAAAAAAACATATATCGCACGACACTCGCGTGTCTGTCTGGTGTTGTTCATGCGCGCCTCTTCGGTGTAGTATCCCATTTCTTCGCTTACTACTATCCGTTGCTGCTGCACTCGCATGTATATAGAGGGGACGAACGGGTGTGTAGTATATATATATATACACGTTTGACTCTTTAAGCTGTATCAAGGAAGCCCCATCATAGCCGCTGTCACACGCACAAGAGTCTTATGTCTAATCTTGTGCAGTGGCCAGCAGCTGCACTGGGGTCCATCGTAAAAAGAACGATATTTGCATCGTTTTTTTTTTTTTTTTCATTTATTAGTTGCAGTTGTTGACCCGCTGTTGTAGTTGATTGACGACTCGATCTGAAAATCGGCAAATTCTTGGTTAATAACATTTCAAGCTATTCTATTATCATCGTACAGTATCAAAGTATATTTTTTTACAGATAAACTTTTCGTTCCCAACACTCGACGCGGTCGCTCATACAGCCCTTAATTATTCATAATTCCTCAAAGTTGACAACATAATTTTTCACTCTTACACGCATCTCATGAATAAATCTCGTAGAGCAACTATTTCTTTCTTTCTTTTTTTTTTTACATCACCAAGCACCAGTTAAGTCGCCGAGTGAATGGTATATGCCACGACGCGATATTATTAAGTTTCTTGTTCTTTTTCACGCATTGAAACGCGACGGTGTCGCGACTTCTTCGTTCTCGGTATCGGCGCGAGTGCATATGAATAAAAGTCGAGGCTCATCGCGTACACGTCAAAAAAGGTGTCGTTCGACGACCGGATCCATTATAAATACAACACACGGTAGGTATCGCCGAGAGAGTCTTGGACTAGTCGGATATATAAGTCGTCGCGAGTGTAAAGACGTCGGTTCGTAAGATACGTCAATACTCCTTGTAACTTTCGATGTGTCTTTATATGTGTGTGTATCGTATGGTACATACAAATGTGTCATGTAGCGATCATCGAAAATCTATGTTTCACCTTTTTTTTTTTTTTTTCAAAAAGAAACACTCGGCCGTTTGTCGCGTATCGTTACATTATTGGGTCGTAAATAAAGAAAGCGGCTAAATCGGCTCGGTTTTCTCGCGTTATTGTACGAATGCAAAATTCATCGACTTCGATTTCACCCGGCGCAGCGCGAAGTTTGTCCCACGCGACGTGCACTCGTACATAAATTCCATGGGATAATATACATTCGCTCGATACAACTTATTTGTATAGCAGTTTTCAAAAGTCACAACTCTGGAGCTTTCGAGCTTTCACTCACCTACATGTGCACGCAATCGCGGATGGAAAATTCAAACGTAGATGAAAAATTGCGTTAACGAAAAATACGAGTAGAGCGTCAAAAATTTCGTGAGTCGCGCGCGTGTGTTGCAATCAATTACCAACACCGATTGTCTCCCCCAGGGGTGTTTGCTCTTCAACGAGCTGTATAATTCAATTTTTGTATAGCATAACGTCACCCGCGATCTCTGCATTTTTTGCATTCGCACTTGACTATACAATAATAATAATAATAATAATAAAACATCGTCACGACAGGATCGCTCATTATTTATGACGCAAGACCTAAAAATGGATTACTTATCGATATTTTTTTGTGTTCTATACGTCTTACGTAAGCGATGCGCTTTTCTTTCGTTCAAACACATCAATAATTTTTTCAACCACGCGTTAATGTAAAAACGATCGGTTCGTATATCGACGAATAAATCGAGCTGGACACTTGCGAGCCCCGACGAGTGCATTAATAAGCGCCGATGTTTTTTTTTTTTTTTCACTACACACAAGTACATACGTGTATACGTACTATTCAGCAGTAGGCCACGATACATAAGTTATAGCCTTAGGTTAATCGATTCGTTGGTCGTAATACGAGAGCGAGCCAATTCGATATATGCATGCATACAAGTACCTACGTGTGCTGGTGGTGGTGGTGGTGGTAGCGCTGGACATAATATCGTTCGTCGGATATTAAAATTTCAATTTCAAGACTTTTTAATCGATACGAATTACCAACTTTTTGTCGTTTGTCTACGGTTAAATGAATTATTCTTCACTTTGGCTTCCGGGTCACACTCGCACAGATATGTAACGTGTATACACCATGTTTTTCTTTTTCTTTCCTTTTTCCGAGCCGCACGAAAGCTACCGTGCAGAGTCGCGTCAGCGAGAGCGAGAAAAAAAATTGAATTTCGTACGAGTACCGAGACACAATGCTAAAAAAATATTTACAACAAACGAATGGATTCGGCACGACAACGAGCACACCACTGGCAGTGGCTCGGCGTTCGAGCCCGGCTTTATATACCCCGGGGCGACCACGTGGTCGGCTCCTTAATCCGTTGACCAATGACGAAGCGCCAAGAGCCCCGCACCGAAAGAGAGCCGCTGCCACCACCGAGACGAGGCACCGTGTGGGCGGACGCTCGACGCGCAAAATTATCGGCAGCGCGCGATATGTAAAACCTCCGTGTCCGTGTATGCTCGGCGCACCAATGGATTCGCTCGTTAACCGTTGCTTTCATTTTTTTTTTCATTATAATTGTTTAACCGATATGTTTTTAAAATTTACAATGTTTCAATTAACTTGATAAAAATGTCAGTCTCTAAAGTTATAAACATAAGATAGCAATTGAATTTTTACAGAATACAAGTCTGATCTATCGTAATTCTCTTTTTTTTCTGTTACACCGCTTCGACAAACTACAAGTTGTTATAAATACACACGATACACATTTTTCTTTGTAGAGCAGCGAATCCTTAAAAACGACAAAGTTAGCTTCGGTAGTTTTTTTTTTAATACGCAATATATATTCTCGAGCTACCTCGTTCTAATTAACAATCGTCATGTTCTCGTTATTTTTTTTTTTTTATTTCTTCTTTTCAAAATTCGCTCTTTCTCGACACAATTGCTGTTCAGAAATATAAATTAATTTTTTCTTCATCGACTCAGCTCATTACGAGGGCTATGGTCAGTCAATAATCATTCATGTAAACGAATTCGAGCCTCTCTCTCCCTCTTTCTATATGGGCAAGTCATTCGAATCACTCATTATAGCTGTCGTGCGTGTACATAACCGACTTCTCTCTCGTCTCGTCTAGTCTCTCGCGAGTTCATAACGGGCGAGCGCGGAGTTAAAGTACGTAACACTATATCGCGCCCCGGGCAAGCGCGCACACAATATTATAAGCTCTCGAAGCGGAGTCGACGACGACGACGACACTTGGCAGGATTCGGGCTTATACGGGCCCCCCCGTCGGGGTTTCCACGCACTCCCTTCGATGTGTATTATATACTTGTTCTTTTTTTTCTAGCTTTTTCTCGTTTTCTCTCTAGTCTCTCTCTCCGCGACGGAAACAGATAACTTATGGCTTATATGCAGTTTACGGTTCGATGCAGCTTCGTACTTATAATAGTATAAATGCATTCGTTGCGTATACGTAGAATTGTTTGTAAAGAGGTAAGTTGTAAAAATACCTGAGGATGGACTGGAGATATAGGTCCGCATCCGTCGATCGTCGATCGTCGCTCGTGTTGGTTATATAGGGAACCACCTTAAGTTTATGCCATATTTCATATCCCAAATGTACAATGAAATAAGACAGAAACATAAGACGGCTTGCCTATTTTATTAAATTTTTCTTCGATCTTCGATCTTCTTTCCGTGCAGCTGCAGCAAATCTTCTTGGACAAATTGTTCTTTACAATAACGTAGAATACATAAGTTAAAAAATATACATTTCCGTAACGCACATCTAGACGAATACAAAGGGGGATGATCGTTATGTAATGCATACACGAGTGCTAGAGTCAAATTCGCGTCACCGCAATGAAAGGGGACGATATACGATTTTGTGCGCAGTGCACACCCCCGGCAGCCTGAGTTACCGAGTCAGATCTCTCTGTAGCCGATCGTGTGCGAGTCCGCGCGTGCAGGTGGTGTCAGCGACCCGATTCTTACGTTTCGCCTAGCCGCGCGTGGCTCGCGTGAAATAAAAGATGCGCTTTTCCAATCGATATTATAATGTGTACGCTATATGCGGCGCGTGAGAAGATAGAAATAAACATTTATTCTTTTCAATTTCATTTCAGTTTAAACTTTTTCGAAACCTTACGATTTCAAAAATATTTGCTCGTCCAGCAAAACGAGAAATCAATGCAATCCTTTTTCCATGTAGCTTACGTAGAACGTATGTTTTATATACAGATTCGTCTGAACGCGCAAATCAAAGCCTCTTTCCTATCTATCTATATCACATATATATCGATGCGAGCATTGCCACGCCGAGCGGTGTACACGTATATATATATATACACGAGTCAACGAGGTGCATAAAGAAGCCCCTCGTTCACGCTCGCGCCAGAGAGAGAGAAGAAGGAAAGGTAAACTGGATTAA